AGGATGGCTAAAGATTGCAGCATGTGCTCCATGCAGTCATGCTGGCCACATGACCTTGGAGGTGCCTACGGACAATGCTGGCTTTTCAGCTTAGAAATGGAGATGAGCACCAATCCGCAGAGTCGGACATGACTGGACTTAATGTCAGGGAAAAATCTTTACCTAAGGGTTGCAGAGTCAACCTTTAGGCTCAAGAGATTTATTAGAGTAAAAAGAAATACATTCCTGACAGAAAAGTATTGGAGCTAACTAAATCTCATCTTCTAAAAGAGGTAGAAGGTTTTTAAAAAGTCCATGCAGCTACATTTTGCCTACAGAGAGGCAAAATGAGTGCTCACAGGGGAAAAAGAAAGCAGAAGAACAAACATAGTGGAGACCGCATGGCCTTCCTGGGGCAATTCAAACTTAAAAGGAAAGAATTCCATTACTATGTCATCAATGTGGGGAGAAGACCGTGACTAGCAGGAAAGGCAAAGCAGGAAAAAACAGTGGCTAGCAGGAAAGACATAGGCACAGGAATGTGGGGGAAAGGAATCCCTGAGCTTGGCCCTGTCTCTAGCCTAGCTACTCATTGAGGACTAGAAACTTGATGAAACAAGTACTTGTGCAGTCCAGGGATGAAACCCAACAGGCTGTGTCCTGGGAGAGCATCAAAGTTATGATTCTCTACAGCTGGGATCTGCAGTGCTTCAGAAACCCCACAGGCTGTAGTGTTGCCTGGCTTAAGAAATAAGTTTTAAGGTTGTCACATCCGGTCAGTAACAAACTGAAAATGTGAATCCATAAATGTGAAGTGGCAGAATTACAAAATCTGATTTACAATTTGCAAATGTTAGACAGAATACGAGCCCTCATATTAATTTATAAGGAATAATACAATTAGCCAAGTAAAATGTCAAGCACATATTACATCTGCTTACGAAAATTTTTTTTCACTAAATAGACAATGGAATCCTGTATGACCACTACGTCGTGCCACAACTACAGTGCAGGTTACTTTCGACCCCCTATTCTACATTTTACATGTAAGGTAATATGTGTTAATTTAAGGAACAACACTCCGCCCCTCCCTCTTAATGGCCAAAGACTCTTCTCTCTCCTGCATGGGAGAGAAAGGTTCAGCTGAGCTTTCTCCCTGATGCGCTTTATGGCTTGAGCCAGCTCATCGTACAAATTGGCCCTGACCCAAGCAGCTATATAGGTTGGTTGGGGTCATCAAGCAGCCTCACTTCAGTGAAAACTGAATTGCTTAGTTTGAGCCACATCAAGTTGAGGTCACAGTTCATGTGCACATATGGCCGGCCTAATACTTGCTGGTTCAGCTGCCAGCATAAATTGATGGTGCATCAAATTGTATTGTTCAAGTGTGGCTGTGCTTTGTGACTGCTGCTGCCTTGAGCTCTTTCCCTAAACTCACTTCTATGGGAGCCCCTTCCTCAGGATCTTTTCCCATGGCCTACATAAGGTGCTACCACTGGTTTCCATCGCTTCAGTCATCAGTGCCTTTGTGGCATCATCACCTATATCATATCCATTCCTGCTCACATCACAGAGCTATTTGCATCTCTAGGAGGCAATCTACAACACCTTTAAGTGCCATAGCTTACCATATTTACCTTGTGAGCCACACAGGTGAACAACTACCTGCACAACATCTTTGTATCGTTCCCACTTATGGTGAGCATTTCACTTGTAAGTACATAGCGGTCTAAGGCTTATACGTGCCAATATCTAACTTGGTCTATAGTTGTGGCCCATGCAATGAGTCATTTATATAATTATCTATATATTAAAGTCAAAGTGTGCATTTTTGTTGATATGTACAACAAAGGCAGTTGCTAGGTGAAGCAGCCCTGTGTGAAGTCACTGGGAAAGAAAGGTGACGTGTATGAGGGGGAGGGAAGAAGGAAGGAAAGAGCCACAAAGAGCACCTTGTACCATGGAAACATTGCGAGTTAGGTCCTCTCAGAGCTGGAGAAGAGGGAAAGGAGAGGAGAAGGAAGGGAGGGGGGAAGGAAGGAAAGGGTAAGAAGGAAGGAAGGAAAGGGGATGGAAGAAGAAAGAAACAGAAAGGATGGAAGAAAAGGGGAAAAGGTATGAGGGGAAAGAAAGGAAAGAAAGAAAAAGGATGAAAGCAGGGGACAGTGGCTCCTCCAACACTCAGGCAACACCAGTCTATGAATATTTTACAATTTACTTTTTGAAATGCATTGCTTTCATTACTTTAGGTACAATGTAGGGATATGACTTTGCTCTGTAGTAGTGTCTATAATGGCCTTGCTAAGGTTGCATACATAGGATACCCTGCCACAGAGTTCTGTGAATTCTGTACATGCGTTATTTGGATCAGCCAAAGAAGATGCTCAGTATTCATGTCCTCAAGAGGAGGAGGAAAAGTGATACAGAAGACACTTACCGTTGTGGTCCAGAGTTTGGAAAATCACTTCTTAAAATTAATTATTCCCAAAGCAAAGACTTTTAAGTTCAGAATTGTTAAATTTAGTTCATCACTTCCAAACTCTGGCTTGGAATAGTTAGAAGATAAAGAAGAGCTGTCTGGATCAGATTAAGAGCCCGTCTAGTCTAGCATTCTTGTAGCATATCTTACTACAGGAAAATAACTGGAGGCATCCTCACTGAATTTCTGCAGTAACCTCCCAAGGAAACCCAGAGGTACCTGCAGATACTTGTTGCCCTGCTAATTCTCCTGTTCTAAAAATACAATACAGAAATTGCCATATTAAGGTTGGCTGCACTGCGTACACGGTGGGCTTTTGGAGGCACTGCCGTATGTATATATTTCTGAATGCAGAATTCCACTCATTTAACATTTAAATGACAACTCATCGCAACTTCCTATGGAATCCAGGGATTTGCAGTATAGGGAAGGACACTTAGAAATCTCAGCCAGACAGTTCATGTAGGTGCCTCACCAAATTACAAATCTTATGACAAATGCCAGTTAAAGTAGGATCACGGTGGTATAACAGTGTGGTGCTACAATCCTTCTACCTGCTTAAGGGTTGGTGTCTGATGAGGGAGGGAAGCTCTTCTGTGTCCCATCAGTGAGATCAATACATTTCATGAGGGCCTGGGACAATACCTTTTCAGGCATGCCACTCCCATTCTAGAATGCTCTGTCCAGGCTGCCACTATTAGTCTCATTTATGTACCAATGAAAAACATGGGCTATTTATTAGAGCTTTGAGCCTTCACTACATGAAATAATTGCAAGATAAAATAAAATAAAATGGGATTTTATGTCAGACTTGCGCCATCACTAGACCATTGTTAAAGCCCACTTCCTAGTCCCTACTTCTGCTTTCCTCTTTGCTGTTACATATGTATAAAAGGACACACATTTCTTTTTTTGTCTGCTTGTTGCTGTTGCTTATTTCACAGGTTTGTGGGGAAAGGGTTGAGAGAGCCCAGTATAAGAATAGTAGCAACTACTGACATGCTGGCATTCCCATACTAGTCCAGAGGAGAGTGTGGGACACTGTTCTGCCCTTTCATGATACTGAATCCCCACTCAGCCATGTAAACCCACTCAGCTTCATAAGAAGCCAATTATAGTTCACTTTAGGATTATCATAAGGTGGACATGACTCAAAGGTCCCAAACAACAAGGTAACACTAACATTCTCAAATAGGTTTTTTTATGTTTTATATATTAAACTCCAAGATATCATGATTTATTTGTTTAAATGTTTCCATTCCTACTCTTCGTGACCTCATGGACCAGCCCATGCCAGAGCTCCCTGTTGGCGGTCACCACCCCCAGCTCCTTCAAGGTCAATCCAGTCACTTCAAGGATGCCATCCATCCATCTTGCCCTTGGTCGGCCCCCCTTCCCTTTTCCTTCCATTTTCCCCAGCATCATTGTCTTCTCTAAGCTTTCCTTTCTTCTCATGATGTGGCCAAACTCCTTCATCTTTGCATCTGCTATCCTTCCCTCCAATGAGCAGCCGGGCTTTATTTCCTGGAGGATGGACTGGTTGGATCTTCTCGCAGTCCAAGGCACTTTCAGAACTTTCCTCCAACACCACAGTTCAAAAGCATCTCTCTTCCTTTGCACAGCCTTCCCTATGGTCCAGCTCTCACATCCGTAGGTTACTACAGGGGGAATACCATTGCTGCTCAGGCCCGTATCCAGGATTTTTTTTGGGGGGGGGTGGGGGCTGAGTTTGTTTCGGGGGGGGGGGGCTGAGTCTGAGTGAAAGAGGGTCTACCCTAGCAAACCTTTTGTATCGTTACCCCAATACCCCCATGCATATGAGATATATTGAGTATGGTGATCAGATCATGATATGAATAAACATAACAGTTTAAATAATGCACCAGTAAGGCCTTTTCGCGAACCACCATGAGAATTTCAACCCCCCCCCCCCCCCCCCCGGCTACATGCCTGCCATTGCTTTAACTATGTGGATCTTCGTTGCCAGTGTGATGTCTCATTATCTATATGAAAATATTCCAAAACCTGAAACACTTCTGGTCCCCCAAGTATTTCGGGTAAAAGGAGACAGAGTGTGCCTACACTGTAGAATGAATGCAGTTTGACACTACTTGAACTCCCACGGCTCAATTCTATGGAATCCTGGGAGTTGTAGTTTTTCAAGGACTCTCGTCTTCTCTGCCTCACCAAACTACAAATCCCACAATCCCGTAGCACTGAGCCGTGGCTGTCAAAGTGCTGTCACAGTCGAATCCGTGCAACTAGATGCAGACGCGCCCCCCCGCCGGAGCCCCGCCCGCCCCCCTTCCCCCCTGCATCGCCCGAGTCTTTGGCGCTTGGCCCCATCCCGCGCATGCGCAGCGACCGGGCTTCCCCCTCCTTCCCCCCCTCTCCCTCCCTCCTGACGCAGCGATTGGCTAATCCCTTTACTGCCGGAAAGTCAACATGTCCCGCGTGTGGAGCAGGGGCCGCGGCTCACCTCGGGCCAATCGGGGCGGCTCTTACTAGGCGGGGCGCGGCTGCCTCGGCCAATGGGAGGCGGTCTTGTTGAGGGCGGCGCAGCCCCGAGCGAGCCTGCGAGAGGGATCAGCCTGGGCGCTGGTGCTGCTGCTGCTGCTGGTGGTGCTGCGGCCGTGAGGAGACGCCGAGGCCGGGCCAGGTGAGGACGGGCGGCAGCGGGCCGGGCGCCTCGGGGAGAGGGCTCTGCCGGGCGGGGCGGCGAGGCGAGGGAGGAGGCGGAGGCGGCGGCGGCGGCGGGTCTCGTTTCTCTCGGCCGCGGCCCGGTTGACCAGGAGGGGGAACCAGTGGGCGGGCGGGGCAGTCCCAGCGCGGGCACCATTTTAAGGAGCGGCCACGGCTCCCGGAGGGCCCTTCTAGGCCTGAGCCCTGAGGGCAGGCCCGGCCCGGCCCTCCTCGCTCCCTTCAACTTTCCTGGGCGTTTCCCCTCGGCTCAGGCCTCGTTGCCTTCCGCCCCGAGCCCTCTCCCCGCCTGCCTTCCTTCCTTCCTTCTCCTCCGCCATGTGGCCGGGGCCTTCTTCTCCGTCCGGCCTGGGGCAGGCCCCGCCGCTTGAGAACGGGCCGCGAAGTCAAGGTGGGGACTGGAAAGGGGCGCCCTTAAGCGGCTCGGAAGCACAGCCCGTGGAATCATGGAGTCACAGAGCTAGCTGGAGCAGCGCACAATCCAAGCCCTCCCGGCAGATGGCCACCCAGCCTCTGCTTGAAAATCTCCACAGAAGGAGACTCCACCACACTCCGGGGAGGCAACATGTTCCACTGCCGAACAGTTCTCGCCTTCAGAAGTTCTTCCTGATGTTCAGGTGGAATCGCTTTTCCTGCGGTTTGAATCCATGGATCCGTGTCCTCGTCTCCAGAGCAGCAGAAAGCAAGGCTTGCCACATAAAAGGCAGTGGTTCCCAGCCCTTTTTTGACCAGGGACCACTCTCCAACATTAATATCAAGAGGGTTACAAATAGGTTTTTTTATCAACTTTAGATTTGGTTTGGTTATTTGGGGTGGTGATTCCGAAAATTGCATTGGATAGATCATATCAGTTCTAGTTTCTGATACAGAACATATGCCATCCAGTAGTTGCCAACTGCTTGCCTACAGAAAACCATATTTAGTAATCTAGAGCCAGTGTGGTAGTAGTAATCTTTTATGGGAAGTCAGCCGCTCCCCTCCCGACATCCCTGTTGCCTCAACACTATAAGATGGTTTTATGAGACCCGTTGCTCTCATTGCCGTGTGGTTTCGATGCAAAGGTGTAATAATAGTGAGGCTGCGGACCATATTTTCATTTTTGGGGATCACTGGCGATCTATAGATCACAGGTTGGGAACCACTGATATAAGGGTAACTGGTGCCTCTCTTGTTACCAACATGCATGTTCTTAATAGGAGTGCTTCATCTGGGACCTTTTTTCACACACAAGGTTCTGCTATACAATTAGAGTTGGAATACACCACAAAGGCTATCCAGTCCAACTCCGGTCTGACAATCAAAGCTCTCATGACAGATGGCCATCCAACCTCTGCTTGCAAACGCCCAGAGAAGGAGGCTCTGCCCCAGTGAATTCCACTATCAACCAGCTCTTACCATGAAAAAGTTCATCCTCATGTTTAGGTGAAATCTCTCTTCCTACAAGTGTCAAAGCTTTGCCGTAACGCACCTTTACCAACCCTGATTTTATTTGTGTTAGCACTTGTCCTGGGAGTTATTTTTTCCACCCTGGTGTCTTACACTCTGCTTGCTTTCTTGAGTGTATGTGCCTTCGGTTTGCCTGTCAATTTATAGCTACCCCATGGGTTTAATAGGGTTTTCTCAGAAAGGAATTCCCAGTTCCTTTCTCTGAAATATAGACTATCACCTGGTATTCATTGGTAGTGGCCCATTCAAGTGCTAAACAAGGCTGATCCTGCATCGTTTCCAAGGTCAGACAAGATCTGGTGCCTTTAGGTTAGTGGTTCCCAATCTTTGTCTTCCAAGTCTTTTGAACTTCAGCTTCCTCAATTCCTAAAGCTCGTAAGCTTACTCAAATTTCTAGGAGTTCTGGAGGACCAAAGATTGGGAACCACTGTATTAGGAAATGTAGGCTGACTGAGTATTTGGAGAACACCCCTTCCCACTCATTCCATGGACTAGAACAACAATATGTGTCTTCACATTGCCTGTTGACTTATGATGATGCCACAAATTTTATATAGTTTTTAGTTAAGAAATACTCTGGGTCTTTGCCAGTTCCTTCCTTTAATATAGGGCCTATAGCACCTGTTATTCATTGGTCACCCATTCAAGTACCAACCAGGGTTGATCCTTCTTAACTTCTGATATTAGACAGAATCTGGTGCTTTTAGGGTATTTTTCACCCTTTCCTGTAAATGTCTATGCCTCTGTGATTTCCAGTTCTGTAATAGAAGTTAAATTTTCTCTTGCACTTTGGCTTTGCTATGTGTAGCCTTTGCAGGTAACATCTTACAGGTACAGATATATAGTTGATTTATACTCTGTTGGAGTTGGGGAAAGTATGTTAGATAAAAGATGTAGAAATACCTTAAGCTTAGTCGGACTTTATCAAGTTTAATCATTTCCTAAACAAGTAGATTCAACCAGCTGTTTCAACCGATGTGAACCTTGTTTTTGAAGCACTGTTGTGGTGTTGATCAGAAGCTTGGATCAGTCTTATTCACTTTATTATTTACTTAGGACTATATTGTTAGGACTGAAATTCTCCCATAGAAGGTTATCTAAAGAAAAGAAAAAAATCTTTCAAAATGGAGCATGTTACCATCTTACCTTAGAATGATATGAGTTTGAAGAGACCCCAGGACCATTCAGTACATCCCCATTTGCCATGCAGGAAGCACTCATAACAGATGGCCATACTGCCTCTGCTTTAAAATCTCCAGAAAAGGAGACTCCACTATGCTGCAAGGAAGTAATCTTAATATGATCACTTTTTTCTGTTCCTGAGAAAACAGGTTCTATTTCCTGCTAATAAATAAAATGCTTCCCCTTTCCTGTAGTATGGTTTCTTTTGCAGCAATTCTCCCTGTGCTCAGCACCTTTCTTTAATTCAGTTTAAAGACTGGGGATATAGGCTGAATATGCCTCAAATTAAATGCAAATTAAATATTCAGATACTCTGAATATTGTTCCACTCTACTTTATTTCTCAAAAAGTTTCTCACTGAAGATTTGTTCTCAGAAAACCTGCATGAAGCTATTAATCTTACAGTTTGGGCATGGTTACCTAGGTCTTACTAAATAGACTGGTATATTGGATTTATAAGATGTTGCTGTCAAAATGGCCTCTGTATATTTATATATAACTACACAGTACTCAAATTTATTACATATTTTGGGTGTACTGTGTGTAGTTAGCTGGGCATAAGCCCTACTGAATGTAATTGAACTTTAAGCGTGGTTAAAAAGTCCTACTTATATTTTCTGCCCATTGCTCTTTTAGGTGAAGTTACACAGCAGTGAGGGCAGCAGTCTCCAGTAATGTTTGACTTCCTGTAAAATGAGCACATGGCCCTTAAAAGAGTTCTAGTTTAAACATGTCTTTATGGGGTACAGATTCTGCTTTCCTATAAAAGCTACTGAATATGCTCTGTGAAAAAGTTTAGTAATAATGATGATGCTGCTGCTGTTGATATTGCATGACACAGGAATGCTGCTAAAATGAGAATGCCATATCAATTTTTCTCTTCCCCACCAACATAATACAATATCATGCTATCATTATAATGTGTGTTTATCTCCTCTCTAGCAGCCAAAGATAGTGACATAAGGCAGGATATTCTTAATGTGATAAGTTCCAGAACATTGTAGACATCATTCTCAATGTCAATTGTAATGGAACAGCTAGATGAAAATTATATTTTAAATAAAATCACTCATATAAATACATACCCTAATTGTAGTAATTTCTGTTTACAGCATTACCACTCTTCTTTGTTTACCTATCTTATTAATTTTTCTCCTCAAAATGTCATTTTTATTTGCCTTGCAGACATTTTTGTTTGTTGTGACCCTATGATTGAAAGACCTCCAAGAATAATTTTCATGTGGGATAATTAGGCCAAAACATGTCATATTACCACCAAAATTGGGGAAGATTTATTCTGTCACTTGAATGGGGGAGGTGTTTTGTGTTTTTGGTCAAAAAGATAAGAGGGTTTTAAACAAAATGTTTAATACAGAAACATTTGAGGACTGAATTGCGAGAGCTATGAACTGGCATTTGGCTTCTGAGAGTTTAGCATAAGATGACAGGTGATTTAAAGGCACATATACATTTATTGTTGTTGTTATTTAACACTTTCACTGTACAAATAAAACAGTTTGTGGTCCTCAGGCTTACAATCTAATGAAGACATGACACAAAAGGAAAAGAAGATGGCAGTGTGCAAGGGGATTTGGTCCAGCAGCTATTCCCTCAGATCTGAGTCGTGATGAAACAATGCCAGTTTCAACTGTCCATCTGAGGCCAGGATAGTGGACGCTGGGATGGAGGGAGGAACCTTTCATTTGGTTCTGGGTCTAAGCATAATGGAGCTCTTCTTGCCTCTTCTCTCTCTCCAACGCCAAAAAAATGGCACTTCAAATGGATGGAGTGCCTTTTATGTGCTTCTTGGCCTAGGCATGAGGATTTAGTTTTCCAGAATTCCTAGTTCCAGAACACTTGATTAGAATATTTCCACAGACTGTAAGTTCTGTAAGTGGAGCAACACATGTAATTTCTGGATCATAATTGTGAAATATCACATTTAGTTATATGCATAATATATAAGAATGATATTCATTTATAAATATTGCTTTATCACTCTGATCAGTATGTTTAAACATTTGAAATTATTGTCTTTCAGACAGAAAAAAGATCTTACAGATGGCAGATAACAGGTAAGTTCTAAACACTGTTCCTATAAGAGCAAGCACTTTTTTGGTCAAAATATATTTAGAGATTGTAAAATATGTGGGGATTCAAATCTCAGAGAGGTATATCTTATGTGGTATTCCTTTCACAGTAGTTCCGCTTCTGTATATTTCTCACTGTACAGTTTTTAATTTGGAAGAGTAGCTATATTATCTCTTATAGTGCTTATTTAGGATGTTAAGCACATACCAAATTACATGTATTCAATACAATGCATATTAAAATGCTAATATCTCATTTTTCAGACTTACCTTATGATATATATGATAAAAAGAAGGGCCATTAGTGTTTTTGAGACACTTAATGTTTTAAAAAACAATTCTTACTACTTTACTTGTAACAGACACAAATATCAATAGAAAATTATAAACAAATACTCCACCATATGACAAAATACTGTGTTTAAAAGAAACTCCCTCAAAGATAGAATCACTTTTTAATTTCATTTTTATATATTTTTCAATTATATTGACATCATTTTCAAGGCATTTACTACATATCTGTTACACACTGATCACCCACTGCTCATGAAGTAGAGATCTTTGGTTGAAAAAATTCAAGGAACAGAACTATATTATGATTTGTGTACTATTCATTTTGAAAATAAAATTGTTCCTACCTGCTCCATGCAGGTTACTGTAATTGATAGTTTCTCTCCATGTGTCCTGAGTACCAGCTGTTCTGAATTTTTGTTCTAGTCTGATCTTGGTAAATTGGTATGTGGGTCTGCTACATTGTTACTTGTTTTGGTTAGCTGTTTATAAAGAATTGACTGGTTCAGTTCTGGAGGTAACTAATACATTTTGGGAGGCTCTTGAATACTCCTGAAAAAGTCTTCCTTGGATTTAAATGAGTGTATAATTTATTTCCCAGTTCATATAGCCTCTGGTTGCTCAGTCTCTTTGAGTGGTGGCACTGCAACTCCAGGATCTCTTAATAAACTATCTAGATGTATTTCATACAGGCTTCAGACATAACTTTGGCACAGAAATAGTGTTGATTGTCCTGATAGAGAAAGTAATCAGCTTAGTAGTGCCAGAATGGATGACCTCTGTTGGAAAAGTCAAGAGACCCCCTCCCACTCTCACTGGTGTCCTAGTGCCTTAAGAGATTATAAATGATGAGATCGTTTTGTTTTGTTTTGGGACTATGTGGCATGGTGCTACATCAGCTGCTTTCAGTGCATTGTGGCAGGGAACTTCTATCACTTCACCAATAGACTCCTGCAAAGTTACCTCCTGTTCTTCATTTTTAAAAATGTCTGTATGAAGCTTCTGGGAGTGGTCATTTGACTATCTGAAATGAAGTGTCATTTGGTATGTTGCTGATTTCCAGCATTGCTGTTTGTCATCTGAGTCAGGTGAGGTTGTGGAAGCGCCGAGTTGATGCCTGGATTTAGTAATGGGGATGGAGATGAGCAGTAGTAAACTTAATCCTAAAGCTTAATCCTGATAAGACACATGTCCTGTCGGTATATTGTTCTTTAGTTCAGAGTGATCGGTTTCACTCTCAACTGGAAAGGATGTTGTTGTCTTCACTAGAAGAATAAGTGTGCAATTAAGTGTATTCACTTTTGTCTTTGAACGCTTAGGCCCTTCCAGACAGGCCCTATATCTCAGGATCAGATCTCAGGTTTTCTGTTTTAAACTGGATTATATGAGTCCTCACTGCCAGTTAATCTGGGATAAACGGAAAAACTGGGATCAGATCCTGGGACATTGGGCCTGTCTAGAAGAGTCCCTAGCTGACTTTTGGAGTACACAGGTACTTTTGCCAGGCTTAATTGCTGCACTTGACACAATCTCTCCTGGACTGAGGTAGTCAGGTGGTGGTTCTTAATGCTCTGGCTACATCTCATCTGGATTAATTCTATTGTTATATGTAGGTCTGCCTCTTTAGAATGTAGGTAATTTTCAAATGAATAATTTGTAATTTAGGAGCCCTTTTGGCTGGAGGACAAGATACATATGTTCTAAATAAATAAAGTGATGCAGAGGCATCAGTTCGTGTAGAATGCAGTTGCTGGAAATTTGACAAGATTCTGTCTTGTCATTGTTAAAGAGACTATTCAGCTGCCATTTTGCTTTTGGTCATAATTCAGAATGTTTATACTTTACCTTTAAAAATTTAATGACTTGAGATCAAAGTACTTGGAGTTCCTCCTTCCATACACATCTGTCTGCTCACTAAGGTCATCAGGCAAGGCCTTTCTCTAAATAAGAGCTCTAGTGCAGTGGTTCTCAACCTGTGGGTCCCCAGATGTTTTGGCCTTCAACTCCCAGAAATCCTAACAGCTGGTAAACTGCCTGGGATTTCTGGGAGTTGTAAGCCAAAACACCTGGAGACCCACAGGTTGAGAACCACTGCTCTAGTGGCAGACAAATGATAGGAGACTTATGAAATTGAAACCCCAGCATTATAGAAAAAAAAAGTGCACCAAGGAATTTTGAATCAATATGAATAATCATATGCACTCGATTTCTTTACATTTTCATTTGCCGATCTATTTGATCTCTACTTGAAGATTTAAGAAATATCATTCGATTTAAAGAATGCTCTTCCAACACTGAGCTCTTCATTTTATTGTTAATCCCAACTTCGATGGAGTCACTGAATCAATACAACCTTGGTAACTCATTACTAATATAAGTTGCGTCGATTTAGTGATTTTTTTTAAAGCTGGAACTTACAATTGAATTTTGCTTTAATACTTTCTCCACCTGTCTTTTTAATGTTGCAAATTAGCAACTGGTTTGTGACTGATGACATTTTCCTGGCAAGCAATTTGAAAATCAGAGTTCCATGGGAATCTTTTTGTTTGAGAACATAATGTGATGAGTCTAACAGGACCTTTAGTATTTCTCCTAGGCACAGAGTTTGCAACATTTAATAATGACTGATAAATGCTTTTAATCCTTGTTGGACATGTTCATTTTAGTATAGGACAGTAAAGTAATGACATTTCAAATTAAAGGAGGATGGTTAGACATGTGAGTTTTAGCGCCTATAATATTTACAAATGCTAATTGTTAGAGTAATAATTAAACATATATATATCAAATATTTTTCAGTAAAGCAGAAGATGCTGCCTCAGATTCTGTGGAAGCTGCTAAAGGTACAGGTGACAAAAAAGGTAATTAATTAAAATGCAATGCTTTAGAATACATAAATATACAGAAATAGTTCCCTGTACAGGCAGTTCCCAAGTTATGAACAAGATAGGTCCCGTAAGTTGGAACAGGTACATTTTTAAGTGTAACTCCAGTCAGCCAGCTTTGGACAGCACCCCTGTGGTGTTTTGTTTTGCTGTCTATGTCCCTGTTCAGAAGATTTCACTTCACTTTCTGTCCCTGTGGTAATTTGATTTTGAAAAAAATGACTTGTTATAGAAAAAAGACTTGGTGTAAAGCTTCAGTTGAGACACCTTTTCCCATGATAACTTCCTGTTGTCTCACTGCCGTTCTTCATTATGAGTAGTTTGTAAGTTGGCCTCTACATTCACGACTTATTTTGTTTTGCAGTTTTCATTATTCACAAGTTCATAGGTGTTACTTAATTGCTTGAATTCATCTCCTCATACCTTATGCTGTTAGAGTTTAAATCCCTTTCCTAAAGATCCACCTCCTTGCTTCACACCTACTTCTGTTAGGATTTAAACCTCTTTCCCAGCAATCTACCTCTTCACCTCATACCTTCTACTTCCAGAGTTGAAGCCCCTTTTTTGATGACCCATCTTCGTCCCTCACAGTTATGGCTTCCAGAGTTTAGAGCATTTTTACAGGCATCTAACCCCTGCGAATATCAGTGGCTGACTGCTTCTGAAACAATGGGAAAAACAAGTGCTGTCTCTGCCATATTTGTTTTTCACTTTTGCCCTTTCCTTCATCCATCTCTGGCCCTGCTTGCAGAGAGGGGCGGGGGCGGGGGCGGGGGGAAGGGAAAGCCGGCAAATGGACAGTGTTGGAGACACAGTGATTGCATCTTCTGTTCTTTCTTTGGATAAGACCATTTTATTTCTTCTGTATTACCTTACCTGTATGCTACAAACTTTTGTACCTTTAATAATAATAATAATAATAATAATAATAATAATAATAATAACAAACACTTTGTTTTATATATTGAATAATAATTAAGTGCTTATAACAAAGCATTGACTGTTCCATAACTCTGTAATTTTTTTTAGAATTCTGATAAGGTGTAACTCTTTAAACCTTACTTGGGGGAATGTTTACAGTTGGATATTAATGCTTTCCCTAGGCTTTATGGATAGAACAGATTAAAATAAAACTAGTTAGTTATAAGTATTACATTGAAGTTTTACTGCTATCCAATAGAAATTCCTAATACAAGTATAAAATTATAGCTTGACTGTGCTAATCTGAATATTACAATTTCTTTTGCAGAAAAGTTAGCAGACCAGGTAATGCAGAATCCACAAGTTTTGGCAGCTTTGCAGGAACGGCTTGATAATGCACCTCACACTCCTTCCAGTTATATTGAAACGTAAGTTTGGGAAATATGATGTGACCTAAGGTAGATATATATCACTGATAGTTGTGGTCTGCTGAAGACATTTCAAGGAGAGCTCCAGAACTTTTCTAACTTCTGTATAAGAACATGGGACTTTTCCCAGGTCTTCAGGAATTTATTTTTTAAGCAAGAAGAAGTCTTAGTTTAAAGTAATGGATTGTATTCCACTGCTGAATAGTGGTGAGCACAGCTTTAAAATGCTACCAAGGCCAATTGGAATGTGGGGACACTAGACAAAAGGTAATCAAAATGAAGGGAAGGTTATTCTCAATTAATTACATTATGTAGTGCTATTGCTTATCCTATTAATGTAGTACAATACTTAAGCTTTCACTTTCTGGCTGCTTTCTAGCTTTGATATACATTTTCAGTGGGTGTGACTAGAAATTCATGTAAGATTGCCCCAAATCTGCATTGACCTAAATTCATTTTCGTGCTGGCATTGCAAAGTCAGTGTAACAAAACTTTCCTTGCTCCCTCTTTTCCTTGCAGTTTTTGCCTGAAACCAGCTCTGGTGAAGTTATCCAACTCTCCAGAAGAGGGTTTTGCAAGTTATGGAAGGTTGCAGTGGAAATGGAAAATAGTTACCCTTCTCATTCTGCTGATAGAAGCAGTTCCATGAGTGGATAGCTTTTGTTCCATGTTTTTGAAGCCTTAGTTGTTAATACTCACTATCCCTTTTTACTGTCTGTGACCATTGTATAAAAAGCATTACTACTCATGAATATTGAGGTATTTTTGAACTGAATAGAGCAAGCACTTTGAATTCTAAAATAAATCTGGTCCTTTTTGCATTATTTTAATTTCCTGACACCATCAGTTTAACTCTAGGAGGGAAAAACCAAAAATATCCCCCCCCCCCCCCACGGCACACACACACTCAAATTGCATTACAGTGCTATAGTAGCTGGTCAGTTCTTCTCTCTCTTGGTGCTGCATTTCTTTCCATAGCAACATAATTGACACAGTAAGAAGTTTGCACAAGTAACTGAGTTTCATAGAGTTGTGGATACTCCATTACATGAACTTAAAAACACGTGTCTGCTTCTGTAATAATTTGAAATGGTCTATATCAGTGGTTCTCAACCTGGGGACCCCAAAGAGGTCATGATGTCACAGTTTTTTGCAGTTAAATCCGAATTACTGAACGAAGCTGGAGAGGGACATGGAACATCTTAATTTTCTGTGCTTCTTTTGGAAAACTTGGCTTTTTAAACCTATTGCCCCAATTGAAAACAATCAGAAGTGGAAATTGGTTATGAGAGAACTGTAGGAAATGTATTTGTGCACATGCTGAAACATGCAAGTGAATAACATTGCATGGCAGAGAGGATGTGACATTTCTTGCTATTGGCAGACAGGGACTCCGTAGCAGCAGTCTAGTTCCTTAAATCTTGAGTTAAATCTTGGGAGTCTATGGCCACAAAACATATTTAAAGGGAGGAGGGCCATGGTGAAGAAAAGGCTGAAAATTACTGGGATATATGTTTCAATTTCTCCAGGACTAGTCTTATTGATAAGCATATGTTGTAACTCCACGTTCGGTGGCCATTTTGTCCCATTTCAAACAGCTTAATTCAGTCACAAAATTGCCAATTGGTAATTTTTGAAACAGTTATTAAGATGCCATAACAAAAGGAAGGAAGAAATGTACTGAAACTAGGTGGGAGTGTTAGATGCTATTACGGTACAAATTTCAAAAAAAATATTTGTTTCTAGCTTACCAAAAGCAGTCAAAAGAAGAATTGATGCCTTGAAACAACTTCAGGTGAAATGTGCCCATATAGAAGCTAAATTTTATGAAGAAGTTCATGATCTAGAGAGAAAATACGCTGCTCTCTACCAGCCCCTCTTTGATAAGGTAAGCTTTGAGGATACATAAATTCACCTGGCATGTTCTGCTTTTGCTTTCTTATAATTGTAACAGCTATTATAATTAAAGGAGGTTCAATGGTTGAACTTTATAATCTCTGTTGAGTAATTCCTGTATTTCTGTAGTATACATTTCTGTCTATAGCAGACCTCTTCAACCTGCGGCACTCCAGGTGTTTGTGCCTTAGCCAACTTGTTCAATGCTTAGGAATTCTGGGAGCAGAAGCCCAAAATACCTGGAGGGCAGCAGGTTGAAGTGATCTGGTGTATAGCAAAGCTGTTATCAGGTTTTTCAGGACTTGGGTATCAATATAATAGGGGTTTTTTTGCATTTACAAATGAGATATAAGAACAACAGACAGACAGCTTTCTCTGCATAGTATTAGCATGTCAATTAATATACATACATATATATACTCTCTCTCTATATATATATATATGCTGAGTGTAACGCATAACCCTTTATATTGGGCTACAACTTCATTATTTTTTTAAATTATCTTAACATATACTTTGATATTTCTTAACAGTCGGAATTAATTCTTTTACTCATCCTTATCAAGTTCAAGATTGAACTACTCCACCACAGTTAAATATATATTATGTTCTGTTTCTAAGGACACAAGACATGACTAAAACATATTTGGGTTTTGCTATGTAAAAATAAAAGCAAATGAAAATAGAGTCAAAGATAACAAAGTTTACCATGTTCAGCGCTTGTACTTTCATCAAGGATAAATTCATTTAAGGGTGCTAGCAGTATTAGAATCAAAATATCTTAATGGTACTTCTACATAAGTAATTGATGTAGTTAATAACACACTGGAAGACTACAGAGAAATTATGCATTCTGTTTAGTTTTCTGTAACACTCTTAAATTTCTGTTGTAAACATAGTGTATTCTGATATTTGTCTATTTTGTATACAATTTGCATAGAGAAGGGATTTTATCACTGGCTGTGTCGAACCTACAGATGCAGAGGCAGAATGGCACAGTGAAAACGAGGAAGAAGAGAAGTTAGCTGTAAGTAAAAAAATAAGTAATTTAAAACATTGAATATTCTTTATACTCTTTTAATGAAGTAAATGAAGGAGAAGGCTTGGTAACTCTTGACTTTTTGCCTCTTTCTTTCAGACTTCAGAAAATAGCCCCAGGTTCCAAAGCTTTCCCTGTTGCAACTAAATATTTCCATTTAGCTTTGTTCTAATATTGTAATTTAATAATTTGCACTGTTCGTAACCTGTTGACAGCATCTTCTGCTAATGGGTTCCATTCCAGTGCTACAACAAAACCCAGGATGAGAAAAAGCCAGTCATTTCTGCCTGTCGTTTATCTCTATTTTGGGTGACACTATGCGATAAAATAAGAAAATACTAATTTTACATATATTGTTTGTTTTTTTTTAAAAAAAACCTCAAATTTACATTAAATTCCTGAGTTATTTGGAAATTATGTTCTTCTCTTCCAAATCAGAAAACATTCTCTCCAGTCTGTCAAATTATTTCTTTTCCCAACTTAATGAAGCAGCATACATTTAACTGTCAACCAGAATGCTTAAGGATATATTGGGAGGATGTGAAAAAGCTGGTGCAGGTGGCTCAATGGCTCCTCCTGCCTGTGGGAATGGCTAGATTACCCACCTGTCTGAAACAAGATCCTTAGCTCAGTGCTTTATGAACAATTGATTCTGAAGTAGAAAACAGAACCTGACATCAGATTGTAGCTTGCTAGGAGATCAAACCCAAATTACCAGTAATGTGAAACAAGCCACAGACCAAGGCATCCTGGTGGTTATTTATTTATTTATTTATTTATCATGTCATCCGCAACCAGAACATTGTATTACATTTCTAACAGAACAAAACAAACAAACAGATAAAAAAACCCACAAATTTTGCAAACTTGGTAGCTGATTAAATGTCCTTTGACCAGTATCTGGCCACTTGGAGTGCCTCTGGTGTTGCCGCAAGAAGGTCCTCCATCGTGCATGTGGCAGGGCTCAGGTTGCATTGCAGCAGGTGGTCAGTGGTTTGCTCTTCTCCACACTCGCATGTCGTGGATTCAACTTTGTAGCCCCATTTCTTAAGATTGGCTCTGCATCTCGTGGTGCCAGAGCGCAGTCTGTTCAGCGCCTTCCAAGTCGCCCAGTCTTCTGTGTGCCCAGGGGGGAGTCTCTCATCTGGTATCACCCACGGATTGAGGTTCTGGGTTTGAGCCTGCCACTTTGAACTCTCGCTTGCTGAGGTGTTCCAGCGAGTGTCTCTGTAGATCTAAGAAAACTATTTCTTGATTTAAGTCGTTGACGTGCTGGCTGATACCCAAACAAGGGATGAGCTGGAGATGTCTCTGCAACTTCCCGGCAGATGTCAGGTGGTGCAATACCAGCTAAGCAGTGTAATTTCTCCAGTGGTGTAGGGCGCAGACACCCTGTGATAATGCGGCATTTCTCATTAAGAGCCACATCCACTGTTTTAGTGTGGTGAGATGTGTTCCACACTGGGCATGCATACTCAGCAGCAGAGTAGCATAGCGCAAGGGCAGATGTCTTCACTGTGTCTGGTTGTGATCCCCAGGTTGTGCCAGTCAGCTTTCGTATGATACTGTTTCTAGCACCCACTTTTTGCTTGATGTTCAGGCAGTGCTTCTTGTAGGTCAGAGCACGGTCCAGAGTGACTCCCAGGTATTTGGGTGCGCTGCAATGCTCCAGTGGGATTCCTTCCCAGGTGATCCTCAGAGCTCGGGATGCTTGTCTGTTCTTAAGGTGAAAAGCACATGTCTGTGTTTTATCTGGATTAGGGATCAGTTGGTTTTCCCTGTAATAGGCAGTTAGAGGGCTTACACCTGGTGGTGTAAGCCCTCTCACTGGTAGGTATAGCCAAGCGGAAATAAGTGATACACAACCACTTTTACTCTTTCTTCATAAACTAGATTTATTTGCAATATTTGTAGAGAGCTTTATCTTCTTTTGAATAATGTGTTACCCAATTGAATTGAACACTTCAAGAGAAAAGTAACTAGTCTACCTGTTATGGAAAGCTCTCAGTTCAAAAAGAGGTTCTTAGTTGGAAACAAATTGTGAAAACCTCCAAAACCTGAAAAAAATGCTGCCTACTTTTGATTTCTGCCTTCTTTTGTCCCTCAGAGTCTCTTTACGCTGGTGACTGGTGGCAAAAAGAGAGACTGAGGATCTGTGAAATGGTAGGAGATGTGGACTTTTGTTGAGCTCTGTGTTTACATTCCTGCCATTTCACAAAATTTCAGTCTCTCCAGCCGTCTGTTTCATACACTATATAATTAATGAATGAACAAGCTATTTATAAAGTATACTGTATTTCAAAATCCAAAATAAAGAAAAGGATACTCAACCTGTGCCTGTTTGAGAAGGAACCCTGATTTTTAAGTTTCCTTGCTCACAAGGAACATGGATAGGGAGCACAAATGGGAATTTTTCAGGGTACTGATCAGATGGAGTATGAACAAGAGCACCTGTTCTTCAAATAAGTACTTTTCCATGTGAAGAAAGTGACAACATGATCAAGAGACGGTAGATATTCTCATCCTTTGTGTGTTGAATCCTCCTGTTTGAGCAATGCTGGAATAAGGCCCACATTGTCATACTGTCAAGTCACTTCATTCAGTTTTCTAGTGAACTTAAAAGAGACAGTGATCTTTGTTAAACTTTCCTACCTCATGAAGCTACTATCTGTAGCCCCATTTCTTGTTGCGGAATAATACTATTCTGTTAACAATACACAGAGTGATTTGTGTTGTGGATAACATAGCCAGTCAGGAAATGTGTGTGGGCAAAACAACACTAGGGTTCTGGCTGTCTGTCCTAGCTTTAAAGGAACCAATGGGAAATAATGAAAAATGATGAGATAATCAAGCATGAAAAGTTGCAGGTATAGATTGACTGTACATTTTGAAAGTTCTTTCAACAAATGAACACAGCATTGCATTGAGTTTTTAACAGTTCGTTAGTTTATCTGCTCTTTCATCTTACAGTCACTTGGTTATTTCCTTTTACTCTGCATCACACAAATAAATGCTCATTGGGGTATATAGCAATACGAGGAATGAGTGAAAAGGTTTAATGGTTCTTGTGATCATTTGATGTACTGCATTCCATATATATTTCCAGCTCCCAACAGGGATTTCTGGAACAAGCTTGAAAAAAGAACTTTCCAATGTTGTTTAGAGTTTGTAGTGAGGAAACAAAAATATTTTGGGGGAGGGTGAGAAAAAGGACATAGCTTCTGTCACCAGCACCTTCTTTTGAAGTCATTTGTTCAATTTCCAGTCTGATGGATACATAATGTTCAATGTTTTGTATTAGAGGAATTGATTATCTTTGGTAATAGTGTGACAACTCTTCAACATGTAAAGGGAAAACTGGTCTGGCATATGGAAACTGGAATATATTTGAGAAGATTTCATCCCAAACTTTAAATGTAATATGTGAATCTTTGGTTTCTAGGGAGACCTGAAAAATAAAGTAGTAATAGAAGAAAAAGAAGCAGGAGCAGCTGAAGAGTCAAATCCCAAAGGAATCCCAGATTTTTGGTTCACAATATTTAGAAATGTAGATATGCTGAGTGAATTAGTACAGGTAATATATTAAAAGTCTCTTTTTATGCTATACGATCACATTTTGAATATTGAACATGTTTATATGAATGTTACTTAGCTTTACATGTTTCAGATTTTTTTTAAAAATCACTTTCTTCTCTATGTTAGTGGCAATCCATTCTCTTTATTTGGTACCTCCTAGTGTTTGTATATAGTGTTGTGTTCTGCCTGTTATATCTTTACGATAGATACAGGCAGTCCCTGAATTACAAATATCTGACTCATATTTAAGAATGGGGGTGAGACAATAGGAAGTGAGATGAATCTCCCTCAGAAGGGAAATTCACTCCTGGAAGAGTTTTCATGGGGAAAAGATGTCTCCACTGTGAGGCTACAGAACATACCTTGTTCATAACTTGGGGCTGCCTGAACGTATTTACTTGTAATGGAAGAGGGACACTTAAGAAATGTGAGGCACGTGTTTCATTTTATTAATAACTCTTACTTTACATTTAGGAATATGATGAGCCAATTTTGAAACACCTGCAAGATATCAAAGTGAAATTTTCTGAGCCAGGACAGCCAATGGTTAGTACTGTTTTAAGTTGCAATGTAGTGTTAGGTGGCATAATAGGCCCATAATGGTATGTTTATGAAAACTTATAATGTATATCTTAACTGTACTCAGCTGAGTAAGAATGAGTTTCTAACTCATGTCTCTCTTAGGAGACATTACTGTATTGAAATATATAGTGGACTTATCATAATTGCACAATCTATTTGCTACTGATGCTTCACATATTATAAACATCATTTAAAAAAAACAATTTTAAACAACATTTAAAGATTTTTCATACATAGGGCTTCTAGGCCTTTCCTAGTTTATCATTTGACACATTTATGGACAAGCTTACTGCAGATTTTAAACCCTCATCAAGCACTTTCTGTGAGCTATTTCTGCAAGGGTATATAAAAGCCGAACTTTCACTAATAAGATGATTGGAGGAAATGGAAGAGATAATAGAAAATACCTTGACAGACCTACAGAACCCATCTTGTTCGTAACTTGGTGACTGCTTGTATTGCATACACGATGAACAAATGATGACTTTCTACTTGCTTGAAAAATGGTAATATCTATTTAACAATAATGAACCTCTTTCAGTCTTTCACACTAGAGTTCTACTTTGATCCCAATGACTACTTTACTAATTCAGTCTTGACAAAAACCTACAAGATGAAGTCAGAACCAGATAAATCGGATCCTTTTTCATTTGAAGGCCCTGAAATTGTTGACTGCGAGGGGTAAGGAAACATTGTTATCTGAACTGTATTTAAATTTTCTGTACTTTCTGAACTGTAGTGTTACACATAGATAAGATGTTTCAGGTGGTCCACAGTATCACTTCAACAATGGTTTCCTAGTCTGGAAAATGTATTGTTATTTCGTCTTTAGTCCAGAGGACCACCAAAGTATCAAATAATACGTAATACTAGGTTTAATTTTTCATCCCAAATCTTCCAACATCCTTCAGATGCTTTGGATTTCAATCCAGAGAAAAAAGCTGAGTATTAATTTTATCATTGCATGGCACTGTAGTACAATTGTACACCCATTGGAGATAGTCTTGGTGCCAGTTTATATGTTTCAAATTTGTGCAGTCTCAGGATGTGGACAGGACCCTTGGAAAAGTGAGGGCCACCATATGCATACTGGATCCTTGCCCTTCCCAGTTTCTGGCTAAGTGCGTATGGATAGTGGTGTAGCCTCAGTGCAGCAAGAGAATTGGCCACCATACCTAAAAGGCTGTTGTAAGGCTGTTACTAAAAACAGACCCTAGCATTCTGAATTGTGATTAGCCAGTCTGCAATATTTCTTTTTTGTTTGGGGGGGGGGGGCAAGGTTTTGTAATGTATGGTGGTCTTTTAAATCCAATGGTTTCTGGATGAGACAGATTGTCTAGATTCATTTTCATCTAGCTTCCAGCCTAGTTATGGGATAGAGGCAGCTTTGATCTCTTTAGTAGTTGACCTGAGCAGGGATTTGAACAGAGGGAGTTTGTGTCTGTTTTTTTTTTCCTGGATTTCTGAGCAGTTTTCAATACTGTTGACCATTTTTTGGGCTGCTTCTCTAGGATGGGACTTGGGGGCACAGATATGCAGTGGTTCCACACACAGATTCAGAAAGTAATACCCTGGCTGTTGGCCTGTGAGGTCCTTTGGAGTTCTGTTTTGTCCCTGATGTTGTTTAACATCTACATGAAACTACTGGGAAAGATTGCCTGGAGTTTTCCTTCCCATCTCATACCAAGAAAGCTGTCTTAGTACTGAACCAGTTGTCAGTAATGGACTGGATGAGGAAAAACAAATTGAAACTTTATCCAGGGAAGACAGATATCCTCCTGGTCAGTTGAAACGTGGATCGGGAAACAGGGTCTCTTTAAGATCTAGAGAAGGAGGCTTTCTCAGCCCCACCACAACCCCAACCTTGCTTGATTACATGAGAGAGATCCTTCCCAGTGGCTGCTGCCATCCCCTAGAAATCCCGCCTATGGGAGGTTAGGCCAGCTCCCTCCCTGCTTTCTTTTCATTGCCAGGCAAAGGTGTTTTTGTTTTAGCATGATTTTAATTTATAAACAGAGAAGCTTTTCAGTCAGGACGTTCTGTTTATTTTGTATATCTTTTGTTTGTCATAAATGATTTGAATGTTTTATGATGTGATTTTAATTGTTTATAAATACTTTTGTATAATTTTGTTGTATTTTTTTAAATTTTACTACCTCTGGAAGTCACCTAGGCTTCTATTCTGAGATAAAGATGTCATATAAATTAAATAAATATGATAAAGTCTTGTGAAAGTGTGCTGCACTTTTTTCTTTTTTGCTTACTGAGGCCTTTTGCCACAAGCCAATGCTATATCAGCTATAAAATCTAGTTAGTCTTTAAGTTGCAACTATATTAATTAGATGTCACATTGGATAACAGCACTCTTTGCTAATGTTGAAATAAAAGTTTGGCAGTTACTTCACTTTTGGTTTGGAGGTTTATTTTGTTTTGCTGGTATCTATTGGTTTAAGTGTGAATACCTATCACCAAATCTTTCTTCCACATCTCCCAGTACTGTGTTCAGATTGCCATTGTTGAGTGGATTCCTTGTATTGTCACTTTTTTCTTGCAGATGCCTTGATTTTGATAACAGTAGAAAATTGACCCCTGCCTTTTATTAATGGCTTTTCCTGTGTGTCAAAGCTATCACTCTCATTTTCCTCATATGGTGTTGCATGTGGCTAGCATTATTGTTGTAGAAAATCACAATTTTCATCATGGGAAATTGCCTTTAATCTCAAAAGCTACTAAATGTTCATTGCTCTTTCCTTGTTTAAGATCATTGAGATATAAATTTACTTTATCTCCAGATGTACTATTGACTGGAAGAAAGGAAAAAATGTGACAGTTAAAATAATAAAGAAGAAACAGAAACACAAGGGACGAGGCACAGTCAGAACAATTACTAAACAAGTACCCAACGACTCCTTTTTTAATTTCTTCAGTCCAATAAAAGGTAAGCATGGTTGATTTCCCCCCCCCCCCTCACTATGTATAGTCATGTATGTTTCAGTAAGCTTTATCATATAAAAATATGATAAAGAATTGTTGAATTATGTTCCCTTTTGGTATTGAGCTAAATAAATAAATCCATCACAAAAAATGAAAGTACATATGCAAAGAAGTAATGAATATTTTTCCACACCTGGCAGAAGTGTTCTATTCAGGGCCCTGACAATCTGAAATAAGAGCCTTTGGGGTTCACAGAGAACACAGGTTTTCTTTCTTACCATCGTGGAACCACCCATCTCTGGTTATTTATAGGTGTAAAATATATTACTTAATATGTGACAGTTAGCAAACTTCTAATCAAAAACTTGCCTGTTACATATTGTCAGGGATACAGTATGAGAAGAAGCATTTCTTTTCCATATAGTGGGATTAGTTTTAAGTGTGTACCCTCAATATTCTTTGGTAACCAGAGCTCTTGGGTATGCATGCCCTTTTTCATTGACAAGACTAGTTTCATTCTCAAGAGGCTGTGTTCAGGCAGTCCCCAAGTTACAAACACCCAACTTAGAAATGACTTGTACTTTAGAACAAGGGTGAAGTGAGAGAAATCTACCTCTTGGAAAGGAAATTCACTCCTAAAAGAGTTATGGGGGGGGGGGGGGGGGGGGAGGTGTCTCCAGTGAAGCTTTCTCACCAATCCTTGCTTCCACAACAAGCCATTTTTTTTTCAAAATCCAAATATCACAGGGTCTGAAAGTGAGGGGAAAACTTCTGAACAGGGGCATAGGCAGCAAACTAGCACCACAAGGGTGTTCCCTATACTATCAAATGCATGCATATATGTGTATGTGTGTATGACTGGAGTTACACTTTAAAGATGTACTTGTTCTGACTTACATACAAATTCAACGTAAGAACAAACCTACAGAACCTATCTTGTTCATAACTTGAGGATTGACTCGGTGGTGGCCCTGCGACTCTGGAACTCTCTCCCTCTGGAGGCCAGAACCGCCCCATCCATCCTAACATTTAGGAAACGGGTGAAGACGTGGCTGTGGAGTCAGGCCTTCGAGGAATGAGACAACACCATAGGACTCTGGGTGGAAGTGGATATAGATCCATCTTAATAGGACGACTGACCACTGTAGTTTTATATATAGTGTATTTTAAAGTTGATGTGTAATTTGTGATATATGATATTTTAATGAATGTATATGTTTTTATGGCTGTAAACCGGGCTGAGTCCCTCAACGAGGTTGAGAAGCTCGGTATACAAAACTGTGAAATAAATAAATAAATAAATAAATAAATATGAAAGCTATTCTTTAATATTTGTGTCCCATTTCACTACTATTTAGATAGGCCTTCAGACACCCAAGTTCACTTTTTAAGAGTAGCTAATAAAGATTTGCCAAACAAATGGGCCAGCAATTCAATTCTGCATTTGGTTGACTTAAAAGTACTGATAATATGAAAGTATAATCTATAAAATTAAGCTGCACTTCTATAGGGGTGTGGTTGTGTGTAAGAAAGACGAATGACAATGAGTCTTGCCAATTAGTTTCTACTTCTGACTAGTCACACAAGTTTGGAACCTGGAACAGATTAGCAGGGAAGAATTAACCAGACAAGCCTTGCTGAATTTTGTTTCATGATTAGTGATATTGAAAGTGTAGGGCTTTGTAGGTAATTGGTGGTAGAAGCTGTATATCATGAAGTCAATATGTTGTGAAACCCTGCACCTGCTGTTATCCACATCAGCAATATTGAATCTAAGAAGCTTTAGATTTTTCTTAAACATCTCACACCATAATTTGAGCTACACCGAGGCCTGCTGTGAATTGTTTTGTTTTAGCTGTTGAATATGTAATATTATTTATTCATTGAATTGTAATTTCTGCCACATGGGGGATGTAGAATCCTACATAATACTCCCTAGTGTATACATCAAAATAGGGTTAACAGCCATGCCTTGTTCAGAAAATGGGGGGGGGGGGGTTAAAAAAAAGATGTTGACAAGATTTGAAAAAAACCATTTCACAATCTTACCATCATAGTGGTTTTCTAAGGATTATTTTCTTGCAATAAATATATTATTGTCACTGTTATCTTAGTCTGTTGCACCTCTAAAATATCACATTGCTCTGTGTTTGATATCCAAGGCAATCTCAGTGTTCTCCTGGGCTGTTGAATTTGTTTTACAGTTTTTCAATTAAAAAAAAAACCCTGAACTGTCTTTTATTTCTGCAATGCTCTCCCCTGAGACAGATGCCTGAAATAAACAAAAGCAAATTGGGAGGGGGGAGGAGAGAGAATGAGCATATAGGCTACCTATATCAGAGCCACTGTAGAGGCAGGGAATCAGTCCCAACTTCCCAACGGTGTGCAAAAATGCTTCCTTTTTGGAAAGTATTGCAGCCTAAATAGTAACCAGAGATTACCTAGTAGTTCTGGGTATTTGTGTGTCGGTTGGACTGTAAAGTATCCTGTCTTTTTCAGAGCTTGTGTCCATTGAATCCCCAAGCTCCTCTTTTGAAAAGTGAAAAGAAGTGCAATTGGGTAGAGAAAGTCATATGTGAACCAGGAAGGCTAGGAAGCTTCTCTATGGACCATTCTATCAATAAAAAAAGGTTGAAACAGGAACGTGAAAGAGTGCAATGTTGTTGTGTTAGTTCACATGTTCTTCTTTTGTATTGATACAATTGGAGAACTACGCTATAAGGCAACATTTAGCACTTCACATATGAAGAATATCTGCCTTTTATTTGAGACCTTAATATTTTGGGTCAGCATCTTGATTAGCAATGAATAGCTGTATCACTATTTGGTGGGATTCAGTGGTGGACTTCCACTAATGGATATAATTTTATTATAATAAATATGTGATACAAACACATTTGCTAACAATTACAATCAAATGAGACATACTTGGTTTTGCAGTTTTTACAATGCTTGCAACTAATTGAATATCAAGATACAGTGGAACTGGGAAAAGAGGCAATCCTCTCCAAACCTTTTATCCCTCAGGACTGGAATATCCTAGAGAACTTTGGGTGGCTTTAGAAGAAGGAAATGATTTTTGTTTAAGGTTTATGATGTATTTTATAGCGTTACTAAATGAGTCCCTTTCCATTTCCTATATGCAAGCTTAAAGTTCTGAGCTGTCCTTTTGATGTTGTAGACTTTGATCTTTCGGGTTTTTAACTCCGCACTTCATCTTCCATTCTGAAACAATTATAAAAGGTGTGTTTTCCAAATGCCATTTGTACTTGTATAGTGTTCGTCATTCACTGATTTGGTTTTAAGCTGTTGGTCTGAGAAGTAAGTAAAAGGATTTCGATGAAAGGAGGGACTTTGAAAATAGAATCTTGGGTTTCCCTTGTCATTGACATACAAAAAAGGCTCATAATCTTTCGTAGTTTGACTTCTCATTTGAACGATTTTTGCACTAGAACCTGCACCAAAGTTGGGGCCATTAATGGTTTAGACTGGTTTCTTTCTTTCCTTGTAGTTTCAGGAGATGGAGAATCACTGGTAAGTCTTACTTCAGTATTTTTATATCCATCAGCATGTTTTAATTAGAAAGCTAGCACACTTCAGAGAATGGCAAATGATCAGAACCAGCATATTTCTTATAGCAAACACTGTGCCTCCAATAACAGGACTCATAAACAGTGTTCTCCACTGTTCCATCCAGGAAAAATTCTTAGAGGTGGTGCATCTGTTTCATTATTTGAGAGCCTGGATAATTTTGAGGAAACGTGGCATGGTTTGTAGTGCAGCAGACTGACAGTTGCGGGCAGATGTTACTTTCCCTAGTTATCTTCCTACCACTATGAATAAAGAATAGTGTGGATTTTAATAGTAAATATTTATTTCATGTTTACATTGAGTAATCTATTTGGTGATCTCTGTTTATACCATGGAGGGCCTAAATATGCTGGTTCGTTTTTTGGTCGTGTCAGGAGCGACTTGAGAAACTGCAAGTTGCTTCTGGTGTGAGAGAATTGACCATCTGCAAGGACGTTACCCAGGGGACACCCGGATGATTTGATGTTTTTATCCTTGTGGGAGGCTTCTCTCATGTCCCCGCATGAGGAGCTGGAGTTGATTTTTTTTTTGTCGTGTCAGGAGCGACTTGAGAAACTGCAAGTGGCTTCTGGTGTGAGAGAATTGGCCGTCTGCAAGGACGTTGCCCAGGGGACGCCAGGATGATTTTGATGTTTTTATCATCCTTGTGGGAGGCTTCTTTGAATACAATATTCTTGGCAGGGGGTTGGACTGGATGGCCCATGAGGTCTCTTCCAACTCTTGATTCTATGATTCTCTCATGTTCCCGTATGAGGAGCTGGAGCTGATAGAGGGAGCTTATCCACCTCTCCCCGGATTCGAACCTGCGACCTGTCGGTCTTCAGTCCTGCTGGCAAAGGGGTTTAACCCACTGCGCCACCGGGGGCTCCGCTGGAGTTGATAGAGGGAGCTCATCTGCCTCTCCCCGGATTAGATTCTGCGACCTGTCGGTCTTCAGTCCTGCCGGCACAGGGGTTTAACCCACTGCGCCACTGGGGACTCCCTAAATATATTAAAGGCACCAGATCCTATCTAGGTGCTGTAGGCTATATTTCAAAGGAAGGAACTGGCAAAACCACCTGTATTCCTTGTCTAAGAAAACTGTATGAAATACACGGGGTTGACATAAGTCTACAGAGAACTTGAAGGCACACACATTTATGCCAGTGGTACTTCAGATGCTTCATGTGAAGGGATGAAATTTCACACATAGGGCTGCTTTCATCAAGCTTTCCATTAGCAGCATTGGAATATTAGAATATAATACTTGCATAAGTTCTAAACAATTCTTAGTAGCAATATCACATTTCCTATTGCCTTCTGCTGTCTGCTTCAAGCATGAATTAATCTTAATCTCCACCTGTTCTTCACAGTTGGTCACAAGTGATTTAAATGCAATTTTCAAAATACAGCATTTTGTTATCTTTCAGAAATTTGGGATTCCCATCTTAGTCTTGTGTTTCAAAGAACTGAGTGGGCATAGAAGAAATAGTATGCTATTGATGTACTAACAATATGTTCATGTTTGGGGCCAGGAAAATATTTTATTATTAATTGTTTAAATATGCAGTAGATGTAGAAAGTCATAGCCTAATTCATAATATGATTTCACATGTGTCAATCATGTCAGATGTTTCCTTTGCGGCATTCTCATACTGTTTTTCCCCTCTTAACTTGCTAGGATGAAGATTCAGAGTGTACGTTAGCTATAGACTTTGAAGTTGGACACTTCTTCCGTGAAAGAATAGTGCCCCGTGCTGTACTCTATTTCACTGGGGAAGCTATAGAGGATGACGATAATGTATGTATCTTTTAAAATTATCCCACTGTGTATATATTATTTTTCTTTTCTCTGTGTGGAGGCATTTTTTAATTTTCTTGTAATGGTTAACTTTCATTATAAAGGTGAGCACAGCTCTTTTTTTGAGGACAAAATAATTGCATAATTACCGTATTTATTCTAATGCTCACCTTTTTTACTAAATTATCTTCCCAAAATTAGGGTGCAGATTAGATTTGATGACATGTCAGATTCGAGTAAATATGGCTAAATTGCTGGGTTCTGATTGGATAGCTAGTTGGTCGCGTTACATTTAAGTCTTGCTTTCGCCTTACCACTTTTTGGAGGTGAAATGTGGGATGTGTTGGCATGCTTAGATTGACAACTGTACCAATTAAAATGATTAATTTCCTTCCAAATTAGTTTGCTGCAACACTGAGCATGAGGGTGAACTATTCAGAAATACTTACAATAGAAAGTCATTTTAATACGTTTTCATAGAATCATAGAATCAAAGAGTTGGAAGAGAGCTCATGAGCCATCCAGTCCGACCCCCTGCCAAGAAGCAGGAATATTGTAGTAAAATACATTCCCAGTGTCCCTATGGTTGAAGATGGAGGGATATAACTGTATAAATCAGAGGTTCTCTACCTGGGGTCCCCAGATGTTTTTGGCATACAACTCCCAGAAATCCCAGCCAGTTTACCAGCTGTTAAGATTTCTGGGAGAACCACTGGTATAAAATAACAGTTTGTCTGCTATTGCTCAGTGAACTTGCAGCTGAAGGTAACATTTTACTTTCCAGCCCCTGTCCACTGTGCCACATACCAGCTTTTAAGGCAGTAGTAGTTATCCTGTCTTCTTTCTTGCTGGTATAATTGCCCTTTCCTCTTACCTCATCTTTAATGCCTAACAGATTAATAAAAATGACTGGACCATTTTGAGAGGATTTTTTTATTATAATGAACAAAGTCTTAATCTCAAAGCAAGATAAAATTTTCTTCTGAGGCCTTGAAAGAATACACTTTCCAGAATTCCTCAGTCTGTTTTCTCTTTTTTGAAAGGGTACTGGTAGAAATGCAGAATGACTGCACCCATTGTTAGTGGGTATACTTTAACTAACAGCAAGTATTGAAAAATAATGTGGAAACATTGTAGGATGTCTAGAATATGTACAAATGTTTTATCTACTAATGTTTAAAATAAAGACTAAACAGTTTCCTCCCTTTCATTAGTTTGAAGAAGGAGAGGAAGGAGAAGAGGAGGTGAGTAAGATCCTGTTTATCTTCTCGTCACATTTTCCATGGTGATGGGGAGGAAATATTTACTTTTCCAGTAATCCAAGGAAGCACTGTTTTCAGAGGCATGGATATGTCATTGCTCACTGCCCGTGTTGGTGTGAGCTGAATTTTAGAACAAATTGTTTTGCCTAACAGTCCTTTGCACTCATGTTGAGATAACAGGTAGTTGGCTTCTGTTTGAGCAAGCCGTTGTGTGAAAAGCTTACTAAATGGATGAAACTTCAGGGCACCCTGAGAGCATAGTAAGTTAATGCAAGATGGGATTTGGTTCTGTATTTTTAAAAATTCCTCCCATCCTCCCAGAATATAGGCAGTCCCCAAATACAAACATTTGACTTACAAATGTTTCATAATTAAGAATGGAGGTGAGACAACAGGAAGTGAGAGAAATCTACCCCTAGGAAGGGAAATTCACTCCTGAAAGAGTTTCCATGGGGAAAAGGTATCTCCACTGAAGCTTTATCACCAATCCTTGTTTCAACAATAAGCCAAATTATTCACAAGCCAATTATTACAGGGATAGAAAGTGAGGTGAAATCTAATTGTACCTGTTCCGACTTACATACAAATTCAACTTAAGAAAAGACCTACAGAACTTATCTTGGTTGTAACTTGGGGACTGTCTGTATAATGAGAGATTGGCCAGAATGCAAAATGTTTGCATGTATATAGAAATGAGCGTTGATTACTTTTTTCATTGCTATATATCCTAATCTGTTCAATGACTTTTCCTTATTTTCAACTACTTGAGCAAGTGTTGAAACTTTTCAAAGAAAAATAATTTGGTTTTTAATAAAACTGGAAATAATTAACTAAACAATTTCTCCAGTAAATCTGGTTGATACAATTAATGAAGCTGTTACCTGTAGGTGGGAAAATGATGGAATTATGCTTTGAGATTTTTAAAATTTTCCAGTGCTTCTTTAGCTGATGTTGGAAAGATAAAGTGATACAAAAATGTAAATGGAAGATTGGAAGACAAAATTGTTTTGCAAACTTGAAAGATCTTTAAAGGATGTATGCTTAATCTCAGGGTAGTTGTGAGTTTCCTCATTCCGTTCCTCAGAAGATAGCAAGTCTGTAACTTAATTCACCACCTGCACCTATAGACCCTCCCTTGTTTCCATGTTCCTGGCTCATTCATTCCTGTCTTTAATCAGAGAAGATGCTTGTCTTTCCTTATCTCGCTTTTCTGATTGTAAAACGTGTGCATTTCTTCTTGCTTCTCTTCTGTGTCTCTTTTTTGCTCCATTGGATTTTTAAAAATTCTAATGCTGTATTTCCCACCATTTTCTCCCTTTTTCCATTTGAATTTTTAACAAGACATGAACTAATAATTCTGCTTATTATTTATTTACTTACTTTATTTACACCCTGCCTTTCTCCCTATGGGGTCTCAAGGTGGCTAACATCCCTCACTTTAGTCACAGTTTTAAAAGTGCAATACAAAAATTAAAAAACAATTTAATAATATAATGTAGATTAAATTAAATAAATATACTTAAAATAGCCTTTAAAACTCACAGTCTCCCCCCCCCCCCAAAAAAAATCCCGCCTACATTTCTGAAGCAGCATACCCCTTATTCTTCCCTAAATGCCTGCTGGCAGAAGAAGGCTTATCTACTTGCAGAAGGCCAGCATGAATCGGGCCATCCTAGTCTCTCTTAGGAGGTCCTCTCCCATGTTCCCACCTGTACAGTTATGCACGAACCAATTGTACAGGTGTGGATGATTATGGAGGGAATTAATCTCAGGCCTCAATTGTGTATAAGAATATATTATAGAGGAGGCCAATTATTACTTGTAAGTTAAGGTAACTGCCACCAACGTGAGGTATTTGAGGTACCACCGATGAGATCTGGCTTTACACACGCAGATTAATTGAGATGAGACGGTCTTCAACAAAAGATAACAAGTTTATTGTGTACAAAGTCTATGGTTGCAGGCTGTTAAATAACTTATAGAACTTTGAATATCACTTGGTTTGTAATACAGTCCACTCTTCCAAACAACACAGCTCGTGGCTAACTTTTACAGAGGTGAAGCTCTTTAGTGAACAGTGTTTCCTACTATGAATAGCCTTCCAATTTGATTTTTCCTTGATCAAATCTCTGATCTCTAGTCCTTCCTTGACTAGGGATCTTAACAAGCTTCCTTTAGTCTTCCTTGACTAAAGAAACTGGCCAGGTTTTTCTCTTCAGCCCTTCTAGACTGAAAAACCTCCAGCTGCTCACACACACCTCTCTCCCAGGCTTTTTAAGCCTCCACACTACACACACACACTGCCCCTTTTCCAAAGATGCACATAACTTTTTTTGCTTGGCTCCGCCCACTTCTCACTCTCCTGAGCTAGCCTGCCTGGTCTCCTTGGCAATGCTCACTGTGGATTCAAACCAGATAACTCTAGTTTTAGCTACTGTTGCAAACACAAATATATACTCTAACAGTTAAACACATACATAGTATCAATGACCTCAGCATACCACCAAACATGCTTGAGTGGGTGGTGGAAAAGAGAGAAGGCCCTCCCCAGTAGATCGTAGATGTCTCCCAGGTTCATAGAAAGAGATACATTCCTTCAGATAACCTGAACTAGGGCTATATAGGGCTTTGTAGGTTAAAACTAGCACTTTGAATTGTGCCTGGAAATGTGTTGGCAGCCACTGGAGCTGTCACAACAGAGGAGTTGTACCCTCCTTGTAGCCAGCCCCAGTTATCACTCTGACTGCTGCTCTTTGGACCAGCTGAGGTTTCTGAGCGCTTTTCAAAGTCAGCCCCATGTAGAGCACATTATAGTAGTCTAACCAGTACGTAACCAAGGCATGTATCACCATGCTCAGGTCTCACTTCTCCAGGGATGGGCACACTTGGCGCACTAGTTTTAATTATGCAAAAAGCACTCCTGGTCACTGCTGTTACCTGGGCCTCCAAGTTCAGAGCTGAATCCAGGAGTACTCCTAAACTGCGAACCTGTGTTTTCAGGGGAACTGTGACCCCATCTAACACAGGTTGAATCCCTATTTCCAGATCTGTCTTATGACTAGGAGCACCTTTGTCTTGTCTGGATTACGTTTCAATTTGTTTTGTTTGCCCTCATCCAGTCAATTACAGCTGCCAGGCACCACTTCCATGAAATCAGGTGGAAAGGTGTAAGAGAGTTGGGAGTCTTCTGCTAGAAAATATTTGGGAGCAATTTTCTCATCTGCAAAAGACAATCCAGAAAGGAATCCATCCTCTTGCAGCTTTGTTAAAATAATAAATACCTATTCCTTTTGACTGTTACTACTACAGTAATCCTCTTAGTTGAAGTATTCTCCTTTGGTGGTGATTAGGGCTGACTGACAAGCCACAAAAAGGGCATCACTTTCTGTATCAGTGTTTATAGCAGTAACATTCATGACCACCAGAGAGCACAACAGGACAGTGTGACTCAGTCTGAACTACTTCCAGCATCAGATTGTTCAAGAATACCTCCAGAAGCAATCCCTATTCTGATTTTCAAGGATTCTTCTTTCTTTGACAAAGAAGTTTTCAAACAGGGACCCCAGCTTTAAAGGTTGTGTAGGTGTAAATTATGGTAGGGAACATTGTCTTCCAGGAGTAAAACTACATTTCCACTGGTCCTTGGACAATCATATCTCTTTTGCCTCCAACTCTCAATTTTCTTCACTTGGGGAGCAATTTCAGTGTGTCTGGCCTCCTTGTCTCTTTTAGACCTGGGAGATCCATTTTTCAACCATTTCCCGGTCTTTTGTCCCTCCCCAGTGTTCATCTTCATTTTCACTAGATCCCCTATCACAGCACTGGTGAACCATTTCAGAAGCTAGCTACATCTGTCTTCCTCCAGGATCACAGAGCAGTGGCTCTAAAGAATCTAGCCTGTTTCTTTGGTATGAAGAACTTGGATATTGAGATTTTATTCTGACCTTCTCTTCTTTGGAGGCTCTTGACTTTTCCAAACCACATGTCCCACAAGGGCTACAGAATCGTCCTCTTTCCCTAATTTCTGCAATCTTCATAGCAATCCAAGCTCTGTAGTGTGATGTAAAAAGTGCCAGTTAAAGATCTCATCCCATAAGTGAGATCACCCTTTCAAGGAACATGTTCAGGAGCATGTTATCAAGACCAAATAACCAGGAGTTTTTGATTTAAAAAGATAAGTGATCCATAGCATGAACTGATCCAATTTCACCATGATCACCCTAGTACTTTGAGACCTCAAACTTTTCGCATGATAATCTTGTTGACCTGGTAAGGAGAGAGAACACGGCTGCCAAAATAGTGTAGAGTTTCACTTATCCATCATAAACAGGCTGAAATGAAAATGTTAGATAATAAGGAGGGAATAAGGAAAAGCCCATTAAATGTCAAATTATGTTATGATTTTACAAATTAAGCACCAAAATATCATGTTTTACAACAAATGTACAGAAAAAGCAATTTCTGTACACAGTAACGTTATGTAGTAATTACTGTATTCACGAACGTAGCACCAACAGACAAGGGTTTTTTCCCCCCACCCTAGACATTATTCTGGGTGGGAGGCAGACAGTGTTAGATAATACAGAACGTTGGATGAGTGAAGGTTTGATAAGCGAGACCCTCCTGTAAGTGTAAACAGACAGGACAAACCAGGTCTATAGGCTCTTTATAGTATATGTGTTATGTAAAATTTAGCTTGTTATGCTAAATGTCCTGACGTCTATAGAGATTTTCTACATCTATGCAGTCTGGCCAACCTAGGCACATAAGCTGTCTTGGCACAAACTAGGTGTCACAAAGGTGCCCAGAACCTATGTAGGAAACTGGTTTTTTTTTTCCAGACAATTAACTCATTTGCATTCTTTCATCTTTTCTCCTTGAAGTGTTACAGTTCTCTCTTCCCTGCGTAGTGGCTTACTCTGTAGAGCAGACTGTCACATTACTATGATATATACAAGTACATCCAGAACTGATTTTCTGGGTGACCTCATAGAACTCCACAACCATTTTCAAAAGGCATCATAAAATAAACATGTTTGCACAGTTAGCCTTTGGATGGAATCTGCTACAACATATCCTTTGTCAATGGTTGGCAGTCACCTGGCTCTCCCAGCATCATCAGCATTGCCAAGATGTTGCTATTATTAGCCTGCTTTTCACCGATCACATAGTATTTGCATATCCCACAGTTGGATTCCTCCTATGCTGAAAGAAGAATGGAATATTTTCACTCACTGTTTATTTGTATTAATATTTATATTGACAAAACACCGTTGCCAAGATGACTCAGTTCACTTCATACTGCCAAAATGCTCAGTTTTCATCTCCATCTTTCTTCCTACTTCAACTGAGGCTATTAAATGGAACTTACGGCATGCCCATGGTGGGAAAAAAGTAATAGAGGAAAAGTGATTGTTTGGTTCCAGTATCCTGAACACTAGAAAAGATAGTTCATAGGTAGATGCTCTTTTATGTCAGTAAAAAGGGAATTCCATGGTCAGTATCAATGTTCCTTTGTGCTTTTGCTTAAAAGTCTTTTCATCTTACTTTTATTTTAAACCTAGGAATTGGAAGGTGAAGAAGAAGGAGAAGAGGAGGAAGATGCAGAAAGTGAACCTAAGGTTAGCTTCATTGTAAAGCGCATGTGCAATTGTTAGCATACTAATTTTCTCACAAGGCATGTTTTATTTTTGTATGCTATAGCTTGCACTTGGATGGAAAAATGTGTTGATTGTTTCTAGTAACAAAGTTAATGTTTATTCATTTCATTTTCTTTAACAATATGCATGAATGTTTTTTCATTAAGGCATAGATGTAACTAATACCCCGTCTATCTTCACACAAATGTTTATATTTTTTTGTTTTCAAAATGTGTGTACATAATTTACAAACTTGGAAGTCCTGCTGCAGAATTAGTATTATGCTGTATCTGTCTGTTTTATGTGCATTGGCTTTTTTTCATTTGTGTTTTTATTATTGATTATTGCTTCCTAATCATTGTTTCAGAAAATTCTATTTCTCATGCATGTGTAAGAAAAATATATTAACAAATTGCTTTGCACACATAATTGTAGCAAATCATATACAATATGATTTCCACATGACATTTGGACATGAGTTTTTCCTTGAACATTATAGCCATGTAGAAAAAATGTCAAGAGTGAAGTACCCTTAGATATATTAGATAGTTTTTCTTTCCTGCTACCCTTTTACTCAAATAGGCCCATATTAAAACTTCTGCATGATCAAGACTCCCTCTTGTGACCAGTTCTCATACTGGATTTGATTATTCATAATTGGTAACGTAGAGCATGTATTTGATGAGGGCCTGTAGTAAAACCAAAAATTAAGTAATATCCCCAAAATAGTGACATGCAGAAATTGTACTTGGGTTAATGAACCCACGTCTGTTCATACCTGCATGTCATAATGTTTCCACTGCACAATATTTTATATGACTTCTTTATGGAGAGGGTGTTTCAGCTCACTGCTGTGAGATCACTGTAGTGATAGGGTTGTAGTTACTGAGTTGATGAATGAAATGTACCAGTGACTTTGTCAAAGATCTTGTGGATGGGAAGGAAGAGTGTTGTGCAGATGATTTGAAAATGTGACCATTATTTTGGCGAGTGGTTGTGTCTGACAAATAATTTATTGTATCCTCTGGAACAGTAGTTATTGCTGCCTAATTTTTTTGTCCATTTCACTTTTCTTTCATGCTGACAGTTCCTTTCAATTTTTCCCCATTTAGGTGTAATTTAAGTCTGTTTATCATTCATTCATTTATAGGTAAGGTTTAATTCCATTAATACATAACTTCAAGGCTTCCCATTTTTACAACCCATGCAATGTGGTTCATTTAAATGCCTATCTGGTTTCTTCTGCGTAGTTTATAGAAAAATGGGGGTCTAATCTGGATACACCCTTAAGGATCTTGTTCTTGAGAAAAATGTAGAACATGAGGAGTGCTGCTTTTTATAGGAACACTCTTTCATTGTGCACATTATGCTACCTTTGTTGTAGCTATGTACTTTTAACACAGGGATATTTCTCTTGTGTTTACGTTGTGTTTGTTTAGATGTCAATGGATGATCTTGTTCATTACAGTTCTGTGTGCCCTCAAAGTATTGTGATATGTTTCAGGATGAGTGTTTTTCCAAACTGTGTGTCCTACTTAGTCCTATTTTATTTGAACTTAAATTCCCTGATTCCTTCCCTATTCCGTTGTATGTGGCCATTATTTTTGGTCATGAACATGTTGGTACATTTCTTCTGTTTGGTCAAGGTTTGTTGTTTGTTCTGTGTAGCATGTTGGATTGCTGACCTTCCTTATGTTTCATTTGAGACAGTGGCATACGTATTGGGCCACTTTGAACTGCATTTAGTGGGACTTTGGTAAATAATGTAATTTGTTCTTAAACATACGAACCTTTGCTTTGATAACAGTAAATTATAAATTCTGCAAGCTCCTTTCTTAAAATCTAATTTAACATCCCATCTGTTCATTTTGCCTTCACAGAGTTTGTTTATGTCTTGAAATTACCTTTCATCCCTCTTTGGTTTTTAGCTCTATATAGCATCTTGGTAACTAGAATTTACAGAGGTTACCAAGAGTTTCAGAAAAACCTAGGGAGTTAATTTAGTTGAATCATGGTCACTCACTGCAGAAATATTCAATATACAAGGTAGTGAGGAGAACCCTTAGGAAAGGAAATGTTTGAAAATCTGTAAACCACTGATTGTTGTTTTAGCCATTTCCCATAGTTATTGTAACCTGAGGTAGGTGGACTGCAGTGCAGTTTAATTGTGTGTGTAGGTGTGCAGACGTTTCATGAAGTTACTTGTTTATCGTACAGCAGTCCCATTAATTTCATGAGTTTTCTTAAGGTGTATTCAGAAGGGATTTGCATATCTTTCCTCTGAAATATAGTCTGCGCCACTGTTCTTTAAGCTGGCACCAAGTGGGGTCTTCTTAGCTCAATGTTGGGGTCATGAAAAATTTGGCAACTATAAAAGGTCGCCACCAAGTTACACAAATCTATTAGCAACAACATGCGGTATTTACAGTGGATTCTGCATAAAATGTGTCAGCTGTACTTCATAAAAAAGGAAAATCAGTCTGTTTAGCAAGCCCTGCAAATGCTGATTATTATCAGTAAATTTGTGGGTTTTATACCTATTATATATATATAGGGTCATGTAAAAATTTCTTGGGTGGAAAGAGGTTGCTAGTAAAAAACAAATAGCACCTGCTGTCCATTGACAGTTCCTCATCCAAGTACTAAGCAGTCTTGGCCTCACATTAAATAACCTATCACTGATGGAACTTGCCTTAAAGTTTTCAATACAGTACAGCTGCTGTATCCATAGGGAGTCTATTCCAGGACAACATGTACATAAGGTAATAGTGGATCCTATAAAATTTCCCACCCCCTTATTCACACACTGGTTACAGCTTATTCTCCTCAAGCAGCATGTCCAGCTAGAGGATGAAAAGCCACTGACAAATACTGTGGTTCCAGCAATGTGGTGAACACCGTCAATTGGGATCCTTCCTCCAGGCTGCTAGTTCCCACAGTCTATTTGAGCTCTAGATATTAGCAGTTACCTATTTTGTTTGTTGTTTGCCACAACATGTTATAGATAACTTCTATCTAACATCTATCCAACAGTAATAAATGAAATACACAGGATGTTTCACTTGGCTCTGTAAATATTTTCATACAGAATGTCATACTTGTAAAAGTGACTAAGTTTTCAGACCATATTGAGCCAGTTGTAACAACTTTAAAAACATTCAAGAAAAAAGATACATGCAACTTTATGCACACATTAGGTACTTATTTTTAAATTTATGTCAGTATCTCATGTGAGTGCTTTGTTTCAATATGATTAGTTTTTTTCCCCCAGAGTCAGGAGGAGGTACAGAATGGGATTCCCCACTTGCACCTAATAGAGTTATTTGAGATAGCTTGTTTTAACATCGCCGCCATTGGGCATATTTTTTTCAGACTTGAATAGTGTATGTAATTCATTATATTTACAATTCCATGTATCAAAAATAGGTTTGAGATTAAAAGACATAAGAGATAAACATTGTAGAAGCCTGTAGTATCAAGTTAGAATTTGTGCACTGCAGGTTGATATGATGTTACCTGAATTAATTTACTGTGTTAAATTCTGCTTGAATGTTCCAAACAAGTGTAACTAGGGGTTTTTGATTTTGTCAGGATCAAATTCATTCTACCTCCCTTCTTAACTGATGACCACAGGAAAAGTGAGGAGAAAGATGGAATGATAATCTACAGCCTAACCCTTCACCATCTTGAAAACTGCTTCCTCTTTTTTCTGTTCTAGGGTTGTGATTTGCCTTTTTGGCTGAACCTCCTGCATGTCATTTCTTCACATGATTTGTAACTTTTCAGTTACCCTCAGTAGCTAGTTGACTCTCTTCTTTTTATGTCTCTTAAGCAGCCTCTTCTGACTGTTTTTCATCTAGCAGTCTCCTTGTCTTATTGCATTCTGTCCATGCCTAGCCAATTACTGCTATCTTCTTTTGCACATTGGATTCTTCCCATTTGCCTTCACTATTTTCTGCAGCCTATATGGCTGTAAAGAACAAGGATTGCCCATTTCAGTTTCTTGGAAAGATGTTGGTAGCATCAAGAATAAAACTGTCAAACGGGGTGCATGTAGCTTGGCCAACCCTAACATATTCTATAGGTAGTTTTTGATTCCCCTGATGAGTCATGTATCTTGCAATCTCTTGAAGAGTACTGCTTGCTTCCCTTTTATCCAAGACTTGACTTATTGCTTAGTGAACATATATTGGAAGTTACTAAAGCTAATGTCAGGTGAGTTCATCATGGGTCAGTGACTTAGTGTAAGCCTACCTCATAAAGGAGTGCTTTGACTAGGGTATAAATTACAGCTCCAGATCTGTGATGGCTACCATAATGACAGTAATATACTAATGTTAGACCTTAAGATGTCTTATGCAGATTTTAAAAAAGCATTTTGTATGAGACATACAATGCCTTGCAAAACTATTGCTCCTCACCTTCTTAGACTTTTCCCACGATTTGTTATGCAGAACTGAACATGGATTTAACTAGTATAGTTGTCTGATGGTAAGACATGACCTACAGTTTACCATGTCATCTAACAGTGCTGCCCAAAGCCTTGCCTGTGTTTTTGCAGACCATAAGCTTTCCCAACCCAACCCATCACTGGCATGCTGAGAGTAATTCCACATCATGATTGTTTGAGCAAAAAGGGCCACCTTTAGTCTTTTTCAGTTGGGTCTCCATATTTGCTTAGGATGACAAACCTGATGTTATTGTGTCAGGCAACTATCTCTTCAGCATGTATGTCTTGAAATGTTTTGAATGTGATGTTTTTGGCCTGATACTGTCGAACCTAGTGGGGGGTCTATGACAAAAACCTGATGTTTGGGGAAGGATTGGTGTTCCGAACTTGTTCATCTGCATAGTCCATAAGTGTGAAATTTCTTTATTGGATGCATTGCTGTCCCCAGATATGAGATATAAAGCTTCTTGAAATAAATCTATCGTGCTTAAAATTGCTTTAAGTCAGCTATTCCAGTACAAGTTTAAGATTGTTTTGTGGCCCTTGAGATGAAGTGTTATAATAGGAAAATCTGTTTGTAGGATGCCATATCTGCTGTTGAGTTAAGTCTGCATAAGAGTTCAGGTTTTACAGGGATGAAAAAAAGCACTTACCTTCAAATGTTGAGCTGTTGCTTATTTTGCTCCATCTGCTTACACAACAATTGCAGGATTCCTGGCTATTGAGTAAGCTGGATCGCTTTGATAGGAGCTGCAATTGAACATCTGGGTGGCCTCAATTTACAACGTTTAGAGAATAGTACATTCTGTTTAGCTTAGAAGATTAGGAATCTTCTAAGATACCTAGTCTTCTAAGTTATTATGCTTATTTGTACTAGATCTCTTGGGGGGGGGGGTGTATTATATTGCGGAAAATATAATTTGAAACAAGTTGAAAAGTATATTTTATTGACTCATCAAACTCAATGTTGTGCATCATCACTGGTTGCACTTAATATTAGAGACCAGACCTTTTCAGTATTTTTATTTTTTCACAGAGCATCCTGTATTATTTTCCTTCTTTATATTACTTATAATTTCACATTAAGACAGACAGCATTCCACAAATTTTGGAAATGCATTACCTTGTTAGAAATCATAACCTTTTGGAAAAATGATGCCATAACCTTTTGGGAAATGGAAATCTCCATAACCTTTTGGATAATAGCATCCATAACCATTTTGGGAAAATCAAGAATTGCCCTGAGAAGAGTTAAAAACTTGCTTGAGTCAACCCTCTCCTTAGTGGTAAATGTCCACTAGCATTCATGCAAGGCAATTAGGTTTCTCAGCCATTAAACTGATATACCTAGACATCTCTTTGAACTGTTAAGGACAAAGATATGCCAATGCACAAAAACATATAGTTTCAGAAGCATTATTTCAGTTGCCTAATAAACATCTACTCTCCTTTAAAATATATTGGTTTTCAATCATACTCTCAAGTGACAAAAAATAAGTAGACTTCTTTAAAATAACATCGTTGGTTTACTCACAAACTTCATGTATTTGCCACACAGGTACATTTCTCATCAATCCAGCTACAGATAGGATTTTAAGTAGTTTCTCTGTGTAAATAAAACAGGGAATCTTTCTTAGAATCTTAACAGTCCAAAGTCCAAAGCATTTCTCTGTTCTGAGAGTCTGATAGAGTCTCTATAGTCTGTTTCAATTAACTCCTAAACTGTACTGTTTCTACTGAAGTCTCTACATTGAAAGTCTAATGGTTTCTGCCTTTCTAAAATGGAATCTGAATCCTGAATAGCCCCAGATCTAATCACATGGTCTGCAGCCCCTCCCACAACATAGAGTTAAGGAAAACTGCATACCAATACATACATATACAATACAGTAAGCAATCTTAATTATATACATAACAAATAACTAGTGTAGGAGGCTTGTAGAAGGTTGCTATTTCCAACAATAAAAAGCTGACTACATGAATCTCACCTCCCAACCTGTACCAATTGCAGTCCTTCATATAGCCATATGTCCCATACCACTATGAACTGAGGAGAAGCCCACAGGAGGAACATTTGGGTTCAGGTACCTTGGGGTGCGCAAATAGAGGTGCTTTATGTACTGTTGATTGCAACTTTGCATTTCTGCTACACATGCCTGCTTTGTTACATACAGTTATGTATAGACTGTACTGTTACACATCAAGGTTCTTGAGTTTTCAAGCTGTAGGTTATAATGGGATAGACACGAGGTTGTAATTTGGGGTGTGTTCAACACATCTTCCAGTCTTTTTCTAGTAAGATCCCCTTCACATCTTCCAGCTTTTTAAAAAATCTGTCAACTGACTCATGCCATACATTTGCAGAACTCTGAACGTGGCAGGAAAAGTTTGAAGAAAGAAGCATACTTACTTAAAATAGATGGCATACATATGAGTTTCAGCAGTTAAGATTTTTGTGGAGGCATTCTGCTTTCTCTTAAACAAGTGGCAATAGTTTTCTAAGGGAATATATCTCTATTCACACCCATTGGTAAGAACATCCACTTTGTGCATTTGGTGAAGTGTACATTTGTGATAATACAGAGGGGGAGGGGCAGCAAAGCCTCTTTCAGACTTATGTCCATTGACAGTTCTTGTAAAATACTTTTTAGAATTATGCTTAATTTACCAGCTAATTTGGAGCACCTCTGTGAATGAATGTGTTTTAAATGAATGATTGAGCTAGACAGACACTGCTCTTCCAATGCATTCCCATTAGTGGCGCTGGGGAAGGGGAGAGACATGCACCCCAAGTGTGTGTGTGTGTGTGTGTGTGTGTTTTAAAAGTACTTTAGATACTTGCTGAAGAAACAAAATGATGTAAAAGGATTGACCATCCAAGCTAGACATTTCCATAATACTCCAAATCAAATATCATTGCAACAACACGTCTGGTTGAGTGAAATCTTTTTCCATTGAATTCTTTACCCTATATCTGATTCTGATATATCTAATCATAACATGCTTTGAAGGAGTATTGAAAATTAGCATATTAGATATGCACTTGAGCATACTAAAAAGCTACTTTGCTTTCATAATCATTTTGGTTTTATTATGTTATTTTCTGATGCTTTGAAAATTGCTGGCCTTATATGTGCTGCTGCTATGGTTTGTGTGTATGTACTGATGGGTTATTGTGTTTACAGCAACAGTTTTCAAATGTAACCTCTTAAAATTAAATGATGGATTTCGGGAATGTAGATCCATATATTAAATATTTATTGTGCTGAGAAAAAATAAATGTTGAATGTTGTGCTCTTTTGTTAAATGCTTTAGATGAAACTGAAATTGAACTATCTGATAAATGTGGGTCTGAAAAGTTAGGCGAGTATAATTTTTAGGAGAGATTTGGGCTGTTCCATCCATGAGGTTATTTCTTCCAAACATAATTGCGTGGTCTTTACCAGTAATCTGGTGGTAGAATCCTTCCACATTTTGGCAAGGTGTTGGACATACAACCCTTTCACGTGTTTTCTCTTCTTGAACTTACATTTAAATAAATATGTGATGTAGGCTGAGGTCACTTCAAACTGGGAGAATACATGCTACTATCTATTCTGTACTTTTTGGTTAAACTTTTAGTACAAGAACGGAAGGCTTGTGTGTCTTCAGATATTGTTGGCTTTCATCTCCCATAATCTCTCACCATCACAGCTACTGCTGAGAAGTTGTGAGAGTTGCTGTCCAGTAGCATCTTGAGATCCTTGTGTTTCTGGTTCCTACTCTAGCAGTTTCCTTGCATAGTTTTGCTAAGGGAAAGAGTGAGAAATTGGTTTGAAGCTGATGTAATAAAACTGAGCAGCATTCTCTCCTTAATTCCCCCAAGTTATTATTTTCATCTCTTGAGTTGCTTAGTGCAGATGAATATATTGGAAATTTCAGTCGGTGTGCCAGGAATGGGTGCTGCCTACAATGATCTGAAGGAGTGTGATAAAGGTTACCTCTGAATGTTTCAAAATGACAAACCCAATTTCAAAGTAGTATATTTCATCATGGCAACATGTTACAATTACATAAAAAGTTACAGTTTAATGAATCATCAGGTTTTCCTAACCATTTTGAACCAGAAACAAATCTAAAAAATAACTCCACAAATGGAGAATATCTCATTTGGCTTTATGTTGCAGGGTCAGCATCTTGCGAATGACTGAGGCAAGGGGCTGTTTGTGAGCTGGGAAAGGCATCATTTTAAACTCTATAGCCTACCCTTTCAAGTGGTAAGAGTTTCATACATGGACAGTTCGTGGTTTCGGAAATATAGTAATTTCAAATAGGGCCAATCTTTTTGAAACACCCTGTACTTGGTCAGAACTGAATGACACAACACCATGGAGTAGGAACATACATGTACTCCCATGTTTCTTGAAATAACACTGGAATAAAGCCATAAGACAAAAATCAGTAAGTAACCTTTGACACAACTCCTCGTATCAGGTCGGTTAATAGTTGTAGATCCCCCCCCCCCCCCCAGAGTTTAGAAGGCAAATTTTATGCATGTCCCCAATGTCATAATGGTTTTGTCATGCACTTTCCTTGCAAGTGAGGGCTTTCCGCCGACATCTTTGTTGGCTGCTATGGGAAACAAGCTGCTGGGCTACATAGAACTTTTATCTAATCCAGCAGAGCTTGTGACATGATTAAGGAGTTTGTATGATGATTAAAACATAGAACAAGGATCATTGACCATTAGTTTTGATATTTATGCTCTATATGAAATGGTTTGATAAAACAATAGATCAAAAACCTTAGCATAATTGGAACTGTTTGATTACATGAGATCACTTGCAATGGTAATTTATGTAAGTAGAATTAAATTTGCTGTCCACTTGTGTATATCTTGCATAAACTTGCCTTTTTCTCCTTTTCTCTTTCAAACAGAAAGATGCCAGCCAGCCTGCTGAATGCAAACAACAATAAGGAAATACCACTTCAGAGTGATATTTGAACAACCTGTAACAAACATTTGGATACCTGGCCTGCAGTTCAGGATATTCCATTGCTGCAGCACAATCTTATTAACAATGCTTAAAACTAAATTGTTTTCAAATGCATGATTTTCACTAACTTTTTTCTTATTTTTGCTTAACTTGTACAGTGGCAACTTAATGCATTTGAGAAATGAGGTTTAATTAAAGCACACTCTACAGCCTTTGGTACACTGTAGCTCAATTGTCTCAATAGGCTTTCTGATTGAAATTTTTAAAATGCCCTTCTGAAAAAACTTGCCCTCAGTACAAAATAATTCTTGTCTAAATATTGTGGAATAGTTGACATAAAATATATATTAAATTAATGAAATACTTAACAGTAAAAACAAAGCAATATGATTTCTTCTCAATCTTTTCCCCCATTAAAATATGTTTTCAGCAGCTTTCCAGTCAAAATAGTGCTACAGAGCAGCTTAAAACATTGTCATCTCCAGTAAAGTTAATCTGAATTTGAAGTAACATTTCCTCTATCTACTTGCAAGGAGGTGATGGTGGTTGAGAGATCTTAGTTGTTCACCTTATTTATTCCTGTTTGTAAGTACTTTGATGATCTAGTGCTTTTAATAGTTTTAAATATACTTGAAAAATATTTTTCCTGTTTATAAAATATGGGTACTTGTACATGGAAAACTCATACTCTACTCACAGAATGATTGTGTGTCGAACACTTCAAAACAACAAACTGGGAAAGAAATAGGTCTCGTAATCTGGTGAAAGTGGGTTCTGGCACTAAAATGTATCACGGATCTAGTTTAGCCACAAGGCCTTGTTCAGATGATCCTCCAGATCTAGATTTGGAAAAGTGGAGAGCTGCAGGTTCATGCACTCCTCCCTCCCCCTTTTGTGTGCAGCTTGACTTTTCAGCTTCCTGTTTAGGGGGAGACATAGGTTTTGGTAGCTGAATTTGACACGTTCCAGTTCAGAGGCCAGTGGCTTACTAACTGACATCACTACATGTCTGGTTTGACCTAAACAGGAAAGAGAATGATGATACACTGCACTGAAAAAGCATGGAAAGATGGAACGGTTGGAATAGTTTATAGAATTGTCTGAGCTGGGTCCATGGGAGTAATTTAATTGGGGAAATATAAATTAAATCCTAAGTAAATGTGTAGTTCTGATACTTTATTTGCAATACTCAAATCACTCAGTACCACATTTCCATGGTTTTTAAAGCGCCAAAACCCTTCAAAAGATCTATTCAGGATTACATTTAACATTTCTTAACATAATAAAGCCAGTCTCTGGCAACAGTTCATTAGCAACTGTGTGAATGCTGTTACCAGGCATGTAGAGAGTGCTCCAGCCTTACCTTATACATTTGTAACTTAATACAGTGTTTTCAATTTGTACAGAATAGTTAGAATATTCTATTAAAGTTGTGAAACATGAAACATTTTGTACTGGCAGTTTTTTCTGACACCATACATGGCACCTTTTCTTTGTACAAGGTGTATATATATGCACTCAGCTCATGTGTACATGTAAAGGGGAAGGAGGGAGGCGGACCATATTAATGCAATTGAGATTTTGTAATGTGCCATTCAGTTATTCTTTGTAAATAGTACAGCAGACAGCTTACTCTTATTTCACGCATCAAGTGCTCAGTGGTTGGAGATTCCCACTGGAGAAAAACAATCAGCTGAACATAAATTGTGCAGTGTGACAGAATTTAACCAGCTCTTTTGGTCCATTAGGAAAAAACAAAAATCCACAACAGGGTGATACATTTATTGAAATAAATCCAATGTCATAAAACTCTGTGAGCTCCTTACGAAATGACTTGAGAGGTTGATGTCAGACACCTTCATGTATGGAAAACATTTGCATCAGGTTATATTGATGATGCAAAGAGAAATGGAAATTAAGCATGTCTAACATTCTAGTTTGGTTTCTTGTTTTGCAGCACCTGGTTTGCTGACCTATTTGGAAGCAGCAGTGCCTTAGATTATCACATGTGATTTGTTTTGTAATACTATTTATTTAATATATTCATTTTCTGCCTTTGTGGATAGCAATTTTTCCAAGGCAACTTGCAAATATCATAGATTACTGTAAACAGTAGTGATATGCCAAAAGTAATCAGAATCCTTCCCAGACAACTACCATTTAGGATTAACGATATCTGTCCTTTTAATCATATTAGCATGCTGAATGAAGTCTTTCCAGTAAGTGCTCAGACTCTTTAACCAAAGTAGCCAAACATATAACTGCTCTGTTCAGCATAAGTATAACTATTATGGAGATTATGTTAGGATCTAATGACAGATTTTCTTTGCCAGAACAGCATAATTATAATCTGAACCAGTGGTTCCTAATCTGTGGTCCATGGGCCACTAGTCGTCTGCAAGAACTGAAATATAGTCTGCTGCCTTACCGTTACTACACCATTGCAACAAGAGCAACAGGCCTCATGAAACCCTCTTATAGTGCCGAGGCTTATTAAATATGGTTTTCTGTGGGTGAGCAGATGGTGACTATTGGATGGCATATGTTCTGTATCAGAAACTAGAGCTGATGTGGTCTATCCAATGCAATTTTATGAATCAGTACCTCAAATAACCAAACTGAATGTAAAGTTGCCCAAAAACTGATTTATAACCCTTTTGGTACTAATGTTGGAAAGTGGTCCCTGGTCAAGTGATCCCTGGCCAAAGGTGTCCTTGTTCAAAAAAAAAGGTCGGGAACCACTGATATGAACCAAGAACAGACATTGGCTCTCCTCACTGTTACTTCCTATGAGATACCCAAACTGTCAGGAGCCCCCGGTGGTGCAATAGGTTAAACCCTTGGGCTGGCAGGACTGCTGATCAAAAGGTTGGTTTGAATCTGGGGAGTGGGGTGAGCTCCCGTCTGTCAGCTCCAGCTTCTCATGCGGGAAAATGAAGGAAGCCTTCCTCAGAATGGTAAAACATCTGGGCGTCCCCTGGGCAATTTTCATACCAGAAGCGACTTGCAGTTTCTCAAGTCGCTCCAGACACCCAAAAAAACCAACAACACCAAATTGTCTTTGGAAGTCTTAGAAGCTGGGTTTTAGGTGGTGTAGAGAACTGTACTGGGGACGGGAGGAACATTCTGTTGTCCCTGCCAGTTCATTGTTGGATTTGGATGTTTATTCCTTATATTGCAGTGGTAGAGGTAGCTTTTTGTGCTTATGGAGTTGTAAATACTGAGTGCCACTCAACAATCAGTGTATTTGTACCACATGCCTAAATTATATATAAACCAAAGTGCTTTCCCGGTCAGTCACTAAGTTTGCTGATCTGAATGACCATGGTGGTGAAAATCCCTCTTAATAAAAGAAGTTGGAGGAGTGGTACCGGCCTATGTTTAAATGTTGAATAGCACAGTGATCTAGGACATTTGTCCAGTGGGCATTTTCTCTGGCAATTTATTATTAATTTATAATTTTTAGTGTCATAATGTAGTTTATTTTCCCACATAACCATATTCTGTCCTCAATGTGAGCTTTAGCCTTTTGGTCACACTTAAACAGCTGTATGGAGAATACTTGTAAAAAAATTCCCTACCATTGCCACAGTGTTACATCAGTTCATCTTTAAGTGGAGAATCATCAATGCCTTTCCTTTAAGTGGGCACTGCCTATCATAGTTTCAAGATTGTACCTTTTGAACACTATCCTGTCGCGTCTGGTTGTAACCAAGATGTGAGTGTCTCTGTTTGGAGACTATATTATTTTTTAACAACTTAGAGCAGGAAAATCCACTCCTGTGAAGCACAAAGCTCTTGGTGTCTGCTGATCATCTCCAGTAAAGATAATCTAAATACACATGCACACACTCACATCCTACTCCACATGTTGGCAAAGAATAACAAGATACGTTTGCCTAATTTCCTGCTCAAAGGTATATGATATGTAACAGCATGGTGAGTTAATACATAGAGCTTTCCACTAATCTGCCAGAGTGCTCAAGCACTTAAAAACAGGATTTTGTCAAAACAAGTAAAGCAGGGCACACAAAGCTGTCATCTCAAAACATCCATATAGTTCCATTATGTGATTAAAACAAAAAGATTGTTTAAAACCATAAGGTTAAAATCTATAGCTTTGGAAAAGGTACCTTTTGGGACTGCAACCTCCAGAATCTCTCCAGCCAGCCTTCTGACTAGAAGCGTAATCCAAAAAACGAGCTTCCCTAAAGTCAGGTTTAGTATTGGATAGTCAGGGTAGTATGATGTTTATAGAATGATACAAGTTCAAGTTCCCACTGGACTATGAAATTCACAGGGTGACCTTGGGCCAGGGGTACTCTCCTGTCTGACTTCACACGATTGTTGAAATAGTGCATTTTGGAAGAAAGCCATGTCTCTCAGCTTGAGCTCATTGAAGGAAATGTGTGTTGCAATTGTAGCCAATGAATTAAAATTCAGTTTAGCAATTTCTTTTTAAGGTGCAAGAGACACTGCAGCGTCTTTTAGTAATATCTGTGGTTTATAAATTAACAAGCTGTCAATTCTGCCTTCAAAGTTTTCAGATGAGCACCAGCCTCTAAGGCATATTTGTTTCCATTGTCCCTGATGTCATCACTTGGTTTTTTTAAGGTCAGGAGCAACTGGAGAAACTGCAAGTCACTTCTGGTGTGAGAAAATTGGCCATCTGCAAGGACATTGCTCAGGGGATGCCCAGATGTTTTGATGTTTTACCATCCTTGTGGGAGGCTTCTCTCATGTCTCCGCAAGGGGAGCTGGAGCTGACAGAGGGAGCTCAACTTGGTGATTAAATGCCAGTCCCATAGAAGGAACTTTGACATTTTCTCTTTATCTTGGAGAATTTTTTTAAATTGCTCATCATGTCTATATCCTAAGTTGAGATACTAGAGAGAAAAGTTACTTCAGGTAGATTTGTAGTTTCTGATTTGTAGTTTCCCTCATCTATCACGACTACTGGGAGTAGTCATCCTTGCCCTCATCCCAGGCATTTTTGAAACAGCGGGGACAAAGTCCCCCTTGTTGAAGCTTTTCCATTATTGTTAGGTCATTTCCAAGTTGTAAACATTATTCAGTGAGTAGATGGCATTTAAAACAAAATGGGTAAATAAGCCAGATTGATAAATTAGGCAAGCAGATAGAAAAGCATTGTGTTTTAAATGTTCTCTTGCTACGACAGTGTGCCTGCTGGCAACTGACTTTCCTCATTAGTGCTGCTGGGTTACATAGGTGAAATGTAGAAATCCACCCACATTTTGTGTTCAAGCGTAACTGATATGCATCTCTTCCTGTAATTAAACCCCAGTTCCTTGGAAAATTGCTGCTTTTTGAGTCCAGACGCAGGCAACGTCATGCTGCTCTCAGCTGCCTTGGGAAACAGCCGGTTCTTCAGACCAAGCCAAAGAGATCTCATTCATTCGTGTCATTCATCAGCAGGGGATGTGTTGTCCTTGGGCTGCTATTACGAAAAAGGAAATTAGGTTGAATTGCCTCTAATTGTTTTGGCTTCCCCTCTGGCAAAGTGAAATAGAATTCCTTCCACAAGGATCCTAGTAAAGCCCTTGGACAGTCTGCTCGTTCATATGGATTGCTAGAATTTGATGCTGTGAATTTCAAAATGCTGCACAAGAGGCTGTTTGCTTCTTGATTAGTTAGTTTAATAAACAGATCTTTGAGTCTGAATTTTCAGGGAAATTACAGTGGTGCCCTTCTTTGACCACCTAACTGGATAATAATTACTTGCAATAATTACTTGTAATTATTCTCATTTTTCTTCTCTGCTTACCTAGGTACCTTGACCTACATGTTTGTACTCTATTTATTGTACCCTATCTACCAGTCTGTTTGCCTATCTGGCTATCATTTATCTAATCTATCTGTCTAACCCATCTAAACATTTACACCTCTGGGTAGGATACAATTTTCCTGCTCAAGATGGCCTATGTGGCTCTTCATTATCCTCTCAACAACCCTTTATAAAGTAGGTCTGGTTGAGAAGAGAGTGACTGATCCAAGGCTGGCTCAGTAGCAATCTGAACCTGTTTTCACAAATCCCAGTTTAATACCCCAACCAATGCTCTTTTCATATTTTAATTCTAAGTAGCCTCAAGAGCTTATGAATGGACAGTTGGTTTAAAAATATCGCTGGAATCCTGTTGGTGTCAAATATGCATGCTCATAATTTGAGATTGAGTGTGTTGGTTTGAACTTTGTGCAAAGAGGACTGAACTTAGCACTTTGCTAGGAAAGGGCAGAAAGGGCCATTATGGAAAAGGGTTGTTAACATGCAAGGGGTCTCAGTGACAGTTCCCAGCAGAAAGGGAACAAGGGAGAAAAACTGGTATCTTGTGAAAGATCACTATAGCCCAGGCGTAAGAAAAGTGATAAAGTAGAGGGCAAGAGTAGAAGTCAACCCACAATACATCAATGTATTGTCAAATTTTTG